GAAATCGGCAATTCATGCGGCGAAAGTGCGGCGTATTTGAAAAAATGTGGCCCCCGCATAAATATGCGGACTTTGGCTGATTATGCACTAAATCATGCGATCGCATAATCACGTTTTCCTTGAGGGACTGATATACACATATTTGTATTAGGGATGTGACGGTGAGGATATTTTCCCACCGGTTAATCGACGTGTGACAACACCGGTAATACCGGTATCACCGGCAGGGCCATTTAGATAGCTAATTTAAAGGCAAATGTAAAATGCACGCTTTTTCACGGGCAGAACAGCACCAGTCACGTAACTGAAAACTAAAGCCGTGTGACCGGCCAACCAGTAAAAAAAAAAAAAAAATCATTAAAGAAATGATTCCCTCTGATTTTCTGTTTCATTAATAAAAGTTTGACTACTCGCAGAAGTCTCGCATGCGCTTTGAGCTTGTGTGAATTGCACGTAAAAAATGAAGTTAACGAACAACCTCGATCCATCAGGGTCGCTGAATTTCACTGCGCTTCATGAAGAGTTTTTCTTTTGCGTGAAGAAGCCGTTCGCCGGAGATGTGTTAAAGATAGCGGAGTGCATTCATGATTATTAGGCTACCGGTATAATAATCCTCCTGGCACCGGGTCTGAGTGAGTAATTTACTCTCTTATCGTTCTTTGATTAACATACGGTAATGACACTTTAAGACCAGCCGCTGCTGACACGCGATCTGACACTCGTCCCATTTTCTCACAAATCTCTACGTTCAGTTAAGACTTTATTTAAATCATTTAAGACTGATCTTATGAGGACACTCGACAAACCCGACATTTTGGCATAATTTGTGTGTGTTACGGTTTGTCCAAGCCCAAAAGAGAACTCGATCCTGATGCGCGTCTTTTCTATTTGTGTGTGTGTGTGTGTGTGTGTGTGTGTGTGTGTGTAATAGGCAGGACATACAGCGCGGTCTCTTTAGTCTTAAAAGCATTCACATTAATAAGAGCGTGTTCATACAACGCTACTCAACGGGTAACAGAAAAAAAACGGATACTGCGTAATTGACCCTTCGCTAAGCCACGCCCGAAAACCGCCACTGACCAATCGTGGCTTAGCAACCGTAACTAGGCGCGGGAGGTCTGTCAAGCTTTCGAGCGAAGGAAACATGCCGACGCGTTGTGCGTATGGATTGTGCAAATCTGATACCCGGTATTCTAAAAGTTTGGACGGTGGGGTGGCATTTTTTCTCTTCCCGAAACCTAAAAGCCAAAGGGGAGAAATCCAGGGCGTGGATCAAGCAGTGTGGAGACCCATTCACAACTAAATGTCAACAGGATTAACAAAACAAAAAACCGCCTATTGCTTGGAAATAATGGCGGTTCTTTGTTCATAATGCATATATTTGAACGTAAAATAAGACGATTAAAGGCAAGACGGAGGCTCACTGACATACATTTCAGCATTTTGTTAATCGACGGCCTACTAACGTTACCCCTGTAACTTTACCCCAATCCGATCGCGGCTCTCCCGGAGTTAGATTGATGGATAAGCTGTTTGATTTGTAATTATTAGATTATTTTCACATTTCACTTACTCTGCTGTGCATGAACATAGCTGTTCAATTTGTGTTTCCCATGTGAATGGTCTGCTAAGGAGGCGGCTGCTGCTTGCGCTGGGACCTAACGTTATAGGCTTTAGCTTCAATTTTGATGAAATTATTCTCTAATCGGTTGCATATTATGTCGTGGATATATCCCTCGAATGCATACTGCTGTCCCTTTTGTCTTGCTCTCTCAGATATTTCACCTGTTCGCCAAAAATGACTAATTATCTCCTTGGGAATGTCTGACACCGGTGCATTCACACTGTAATAGACGTGGCAGCCGCGAAAGCTTGACAGGCGTAGCAACAGTAACTAAGGAGGGCGGGGCTTAGCGAAGGGTCAATTGCGTTAAATATATACATAATTTTTTTTGCGGGTGCCGCAGTGGGCAAGTGATGAAACCGGTGTTGCGACTGAACAACACCGTGTAACACCGGTAACACCGACTACCGTAGCAAGCCTAATTTGTATGTCATGACAATGATGATAATTGTTGTTAATGTTTTTTTCTTCTTCTTTAACTACCTCGTCTCAAAGCACATAACATTACTATAATAATGAACATTAACAACTTAAAGAGCTCTGACCTGTACCACCTGACTGCTGCAGATTCATTTCGCCATTGATAGTGTTGACATTGTAACGTATAAATTCGAGTCACGAACCTCTCCGAGTATATCATCATGTGTTTTCATCTCATCCAAATAACTGTAGTAATGCTGTGAACGCAGTATAAGCTCGTTGTTTTGGTTGTAAACTGTAAAAGGCGGCTGCTGTTTCGTTTGCGGTGCTCCGAGACTGACGTCTGTCTAACTCATTGCATGAACATAGCATGAAACGCACTGATGACGTGTGTTGATAGGCAGATAGGACCGAATGCAATGATTGGACGAACATTTTATGGCACGCCTTCCACATATGATATGAGATATACACTCACCGGCCACTTTATTAGGTACACCTGTCCAACTGCTCGTTAACACTTAATTTCTAAGCAGCCAATCACATGGCGGCAACTCAGTGCATTTAGGCATGTAGACATGGTCAAGACAATCTCCTGCAGTTCAAACCGAGCATCAGTATGGGGAAGAAAGGTGATTTGAGTGACTTTGAACGTGGCATGATTGTTGGTGCCAGAAGGGCTGGTCTGAGTATTTCAGAAACTGCTAATCTACTGGGATTTTCACGCACAACCATCTCTAGGGTTTACAGAGAATGGTCCGAAAAAGAAAAAACATCCAGTGAGCGGCAGTTCTGTGGGCGGAAATGCCTTGTTGATGCCAGAGGTCAGAGGAGAATGGCCAGACTGGTTCGAGCTGATAGAAGGGCAACAGTGACTGAAATAACCACTCGTTACAACCGAGGTATGCAGCAAAGCATTTGTGAAGCCACAACACGCACAACCTTGAGGCGGATGGGCTACAACAGCAGAAGACTCCACCGGGTACCACTCATCTCCACTACAAATAGGAAAAAGAGGCTACAATTTGCAAGAGCTCACCAAAATTGAACAGTTGAAGACTGGAAAAATGTTGCCTGGTCTGATGAGTCTCGATTTCTGTTGAGACATTCAGATGTTAGAGTCAGAATTTGGCGTAAACAGAATGAGAACATGGAACCATCATGCCTTGTTACCACTGTGCAGGCTGGTGGTGGTGGTGTAATGGTGTGGGGGATGTTTTCCTGGCACACTTTAGGCCCCTTAGTGCCAATTGGGCATCGTTTAAATGCCACGGCCTACCTGAGCATTGTTTCTGACCATGTCCATCCCTTTATGGCCACCATGTACCCATCCTATGATGGCTACTTCCACCATGTCACAAAGCTCTAATCATTTCAAATTGGTTTCTTGAACATGACAATGAGTTCACTGTACTAAAATGGCCTCCACAGTCACCAGATCTCAACCCAATAGAGCATCTTTGGGATGTGGTGGAACGGGAGATTCGCATCATGGATGTGCAGCCGACAAATCTGCGGCAACTGTGTGATGCCATCATGTCAATATGGACCAAACTCCCTGAGGAATGCTTCCAGCACCTTGTTGAATCTATGCCACGAAGAATTGAGGCAGTTCTGAAGGCAAAAGGGGGTCCAACCCGTTACTAGCATGGGGTACCTAATAAAGTGGCCGGTGAGTGTATATAAATTAGTGCTGTCAAACGATTAAAATATTTAATCGTGATTAATCGCAATCGATTAATGTCATAGTGCGATTAATCGCAAATTTTTATCTATTCTAAAAGTCTCTTGATTTCTTTTTGTCCCATTTGTTATTTTTCCTCATTTTAATGCTCTTATCAACATGGAAAAGTGGATCGGCTTGCTTTGTGCAAATGTTTTTTTATTGAAAACAACATTGGCATATACTGTGTTCAATTTCACACTAACATTCTCACTTGGAGCAAATAATCTCTCACACAATGTAACACTGTCCATCAATAAAAGGGTGAAAGAAATACTGACGAGGTCCTGATATTGACGAGGGGGTGGAGAATTCGCATCAGCTGTGTGTGTGTGTGTGTGTGTGTGTGTGTGTGTGTGTGTGTGTGTGTGTGTGTGTGTGTGTGTGTGTGTGTGCTTGGCCATCAAGGGGTGTTTCAGACTGGACGTGCTGCGATGATGATGGCTCAGTTCACAACGACAAAACACACAGATCACTTTGGTCTCGTCAATGGGACCATTTGGCAACTTTTTAAAAGTAAACTTTCAATTCAGAATCTTATTGGCATCCATTTCGGCGTCTCGCGCTCGTCATCCACTCAAAACGTAACGTTAACCAACTATTTGGCCGGCTCACAAGCCCAAACAAGTGTGTGCGGTGTGCCTGTTGTTTTGTTTCCGGTCTAGCTAGATCCGCTTGCGCTTTGGTCGACGAAGCAACAAAACGTCCTCATGCGCAGCGCAAGCCATCGAAATGAATGGGTTTCATAGCGCAGCGCCGCGCATGAGGCGTCCTGTTGCAAAAGCATGTGAAAAAAACTACAAAGTTTGTTAGGCCAAAAAGACCGCTAATTGCGCGATAAAAAAAATGAACGCCGTTAATAACGCGTTTAACTGACAGCCCTAATACAAATACATTGTGAAGAGTCTTTCAACCAGCATAGCAAAAAAAAAATCTGAATTAAATCGCCTACCCTGCCTTTAATGCAGATTGTTTAAAAGAAGATTCACAGTAATATACAGAAAAATAACAAAGTTAATTTCAGCTGCAGATTTACAAAAGGCAATAGTGCCATTATTCATTCACTTTGAGTCAGTTCAATGTTGATTCAATTCAGTTCAATAGCAGCGCCAATGTAGCAAAATTAGTCAATTATGAAAAAGTCAAATCAGCAATAAAACAGCTCTACAGAAGACAAGGGTGTCATTATCCAGCTCAAGTCTGTTAAACATATCTCTGTCTGCTCTCCGTCAGTTTGATGTCCGGTCTGGCGGCGCTGGATGCAAAGTGTTCCAGTCGGCTGGGCCTCATCACGGTCTCCTACTACCTGTGGACCACCTTCCTCGCTGTGGTGGTGGGAATCGTCATGGTGTTGATCATCCATCCAGGTGGAATGGCACAGAAAGAAGATTCAGAGGACAGCGGGAAACCCATCATGAGCTCCGCTGATGCTCTCCTGGATCTCATACGGTGAGAAAGCCCTCATGTTTCTCCCTCATCATTCCATGGAACATGGAACACATGTTCTATGGAACACAAAAGAAACATGATATTAACCCAGCTAACAGGGAATGTTCTCAGAACGTTCAGGCAAGGTTCTATCAAAGTTATGAAGAAACATTCTTCTTGTAACATTAATAGAATGTTCATTCTAAGTTATCTGGTCTTTAATAGCATTCTCAAACTGTTAGCACAAAAACATGAATAGATCGACCGTTCATGGAACGTTTTATTTGGATGTTCATCTCACATTTGTTAAATGTTACTACTTGTTTTATAATGTTCAGAGAACATTTAAAAGTAATGTTCCCATAATATTTGCAAAATTATAACGGAATGATCCCTTAACATTCTAATTACTAAGAAAAACACATTTTTAAACTTAATTGAAACGTTAGCAAATTAGCTGGGAAATTGCCATTTTCATTATCAACAATACCTGGCAAATAAAAACAGAATTTGATTTATGAATTACTAGCAACTTGGTCAGTAATATTTTACAATGAACTGCCATCACGGATACAATCTCCAGCAACCTGATTGTGTTTCGATCGAATGTATAGCAGTCAAAATCTCACATGACCTGTTTGAGAGCACTCGAATGAGTCACAAACACACGTATAGAAGGATTGGGAAACTATTGTAGATTTGAGTGTTTTTATAAATGCACAGTGACCCTTAAACGTACTTGGACACTTAAGACACAATGCAAATAATTGCATTAGATAATAAAATTAACTATAAACAAACACAATGTCACACAATATTAACTGTCTTCAACACTAGATCTGTTGTTTTAGGTTTGTGTGTTTTTGCTTGAAAAGTGTGTTTGCGGCTATACTTATTTATGATAAATGACCCTTGGTTTCGTATTTTGTTATCTAATGCAATGCTTTAAACTTCAAGTGTCCAAATGCATCTTTGTGCCGCTGTTTGTGTGAGCTCCGCATCAACCAACTTTTCGATATTTGTGTCATTTATACTAATGCCAGTGTTTGTAGCTTTAATCTACTATTATATTAATACAAGCTGTACACAGAAAGTAAATTATTGACTTTGCTTGAAGCAAATGCAGCCATTATTTCCGCCTCCAGGAATCCACGTAACTAAAATAAATGACACTCCATTGTTACACACACTCCATCAGCTGAAGGTCATTTTATTAGAAACGTAATGTAAACAGTTGTTTGTGTGGACAAAGCCATTTAAAAGACTCTCAATACATACAGAACCTTCACAAGGACTGCTGGCAGGATTATTTGGTTTAATAATTTATTTCATTAAAATGACAGATAAAAATGCTTTGCAATGTCATTGTTCATTCCTGCCCACGTAAAAATAATATCCCCCAAAAAATACCACTTAAAGCAACACTAAGTAAGATTTTTTACCTTAAAATAATGTTTCCAAAATCGGAAACATTATTTTAACACAATTCATTATTTTAACACAATTCAAATTCACTTTGCGGTCCTATATCTGCTATAACCACGCTATGTAAGACTCCCAGATCGGGTCGCGTTTCTGTAGTTCTAATGAGACATAAGAAGACTACAAATTTGACTTAATTTACGTCAAGCGTTACAATAGTCATTATTTTGTTTTTCTTCGTTTCTTATGTCGCAATACATCATACTTTCATGAAATCATTTAACATACTCTAGCTTGTCTGTGGACATCGTTGATTCCAAAGCCGGTGCTGGATAAACCACGAGCGTGCGTGCGACAGTAGGTTGCGGTAGGCTAAAGTATTTACGACAGCGGCAATGGACAATTCCGCTTCCAACCTGTAGGGCGACCGCTGAGGAAAAGTTACTTGGTGTTGCTTTAACGCTCTGGTGCTATTAGGTTTTTTTCACTGAAAAATGCTACGTTGTTTTTAGAATTGTGGACCCAATGAGGTTCATTCTCGTGTTGCGCAGCACGTTTGAGCTTCAGCAAGAACCAATGAGGTTCATTCTCGTGTTGCGCAGCACGTTTGAGCTTCAGCAAGAACCAATGAGGTTCATTCTCGTGTTACGCAGCACGTTTGAGCTTCCTCAAGAACCAATGAGGTTCATTCTCGTGTTGCGCAGCACGTTTGAGCTTCAGCAAGAACCAATGAGGTTCATTCTCGTGTTACGCAGCACGTTTGAGCTTCAGCAAGAACCAATGAGGTTCATTCTCGTGTTGCGCAGCACGTTTGAGCTTCAACAAGAACCAATGAGGTTCATTCTCGTGTTGCGCAGCACGTTTGAGTTTCAGCAAGAACCAATGAGGTTCATTCTCGTGTTACGCAGCACGTTTGAGCTTCAGCAAGAACCAATGAGGTTCATTCTCGTGTTGCGCAGCACGTTTGAGCTTCAGCAAGAACCAATGAGGTTCATTCTCGTGTTGCGCAGCACGTTTGAGCTCCTCAAGAACCAATGAGGTTCATTCTCGTGTTGCGCAGCACGTTTGAGCTTCAGCAAGAACCAATGAGGTTCATTCTCGTGTTACGCAGCACGTTTGAGCTTCAGCAAGAACCAATGAGGTTCATTCTCGTGTTGCGCAGCACGTTTGAGCTTCAGCAAGAACCAATGAGGTTCATTCTCGTGTTGCGCAGCACGTTTGAGTTTCAGCAAGAACCAATGAGGTTCATTCTCGTGTTACGCAGCACGTTTGAGCTTCAGCAAGAACCAATGAGGTTCATTCTCGTGTTGCGCAGCACGTTTGAGCTTCAGCAAGAACCAATGAGGTTCATTCTCGTGTTGCGCAGCACGTTTGAGTTTCAGCAAGAACCAATGAGGTTCATTCTCGTGTTGCGCAACACGTTTGAGCTCCTCAAGAACCAATGAGGTTCATTCTCGTGTTGCGCAGCACGTTTGAGCTTCAGCAGGAACCAATGAGGTTCATTCTCGTGTTACGCAGCACGTTTGAGCTTCAGCAGGAACCAATAAGGTTCATTCTCGTGTTACGCAGCACGTTTGAGCTTCAGCAAGAACCAATGAGGTTCATTCTCGTGTTACGCAGCACGTTTGAGCTTCAGCAAGAACCAATGAGGTTCATTCTCGTGTTGCGCAGCACGTTTGAGCTTCAGCAAGAACCAATGAGGTTCATTCTCGTGTTACGCAGCACATTTGAGCTTCCTCAAGAACCAATGAGGTTCATTCTCGTGTTACGCAGCACGTTTGAGCTTCCTCAAGAACCAATGAGGTTCATTCTCGTGTTACGCAGCACGTTTGAGCTTCCTCAAGAACCAATGGGGTTCATTCTCGTGTTACGCAGCACGTTTGAGCTTCTGCAAGAACCAATGAGGATCATTCTTGTGTTGCGCAGCACGTTTGAGCTTCTGCAGGAACCAATGAGGTTCATTCTCGTGTTACGCAGCACGTTTGAGCTTCAGCAAGAACCAATGAGGTTCATTCTCGTGTTACGCAGCACGTTTGAGCTTCAGCAAGAACCAATGAGGTTCATTCTCGTGTTACGCAGCACGTTTGAGCTTCTGCAGAAACCAATGAGGTTCATTCTCGTGTTACGCAGCACGTTTGAGCTCCTGCAAGAACCAATGAGGTTCATTCTCGTGTTGCGCTGCAAGTTTGAGCTCCTGCAAGAACCAATGAGGTTCATTCTCGTGTTGCGCTGCACGTTTGAGCTTCAGCAAGAACCAATGAGGTTCATTCTCGTGTTGCGCAGCACGTTTGAGCTTCAGCAGGAACCAATGAGGTTCATTCTCGTGTGTTTACGCAGCACGTTTGAGCTTCAGCAAGAACCAATGAGGTTCATTCTCGTGTTACGCAGCACGTTTGAGCTTCAGCAAGAACCAATGAGGTTCATTCTCGTGTTGCGCAGCACGTTTGAGCTCCTCAAGAACCAATGAGGTTCATTCTCGTGTTACGCAGCACGTTTGAGCTTCAGCAAGAACCAATGAGGTTCATTCTCGTGTTACGCAGCACGTTTGAGCTTCAGCAGGAACCAATGAGGTTCATTCTCGTGTTGCGCTGCAAGTTTGAGCTCCTGCAAGAACCAATGAGGTTCATTCTCGTGTTACGCAGCACGTTTGAGCTTCAGCAAGAACCAATGAGGTTCATTCTCTTGTTACGCAGCAAGTTTGAGCTTCAGCAGGAACCAATAAGGTTCATTCTCGTGTTACGCAGCACGTTTGAGCTTCAGCAAGAACCAATGAGGTTCATTCTCGTGTTGCGCTGCAAGTTTGAGCTCCTGCAAGAACCAATGAGGTTCATTCTCGTGTTGCGCTGCACGTTTGAGTTTCAGCAGGAACCAATGAGGTTCATTCTCGTGTGTTTACGCAGCACGTTTGAGCTTCAGCAGGAACCAATGAGGTTCATTCTCGTGTTACGCAGCACGTTTGAGCTTCAGCAAGAACCAATGAGGTTCATTCTCGTGTTGCGCAGCACGTTTGAGCTCCTCAAGAACCAATGAGGTTCATTCTCGTGTTACGCAGCACGTTTGAGCTTCAGCAAGAACCAATGAGGTTCATTCTCGTGTTACGCAGCACGTTTGAGCTTCAGCAGGAACCAATGAGGTTCATTCTCGTGTTACGCAGCACGTTTGAGCTTCAGCAAGAACCAATGAGGTTCATTCTCGTGTTACGCAGCAAGTTTGAGCTTCAGCAGGAACCAATAAGGTTCATTCTCGTGTTACGCAGCACGTTTGAGCTTCAGCAAGAACCAATGAGGTTCATTCTCGTGTTACGCAGCACGTTTGAGCTCCTGCAAGAACCAATGAGGTTCATTCTCGTGTTGCGCAGCACGTTTAAGCTCCTGCAAGAACCAATGAGGTTCATTCTCGTGTTACGCAGCACGTTTGAGCTTCTGCAGAAACCAATGAGGTTCATTCTCGTGTTACGCAGCACGTTTGAGCTCCTGCAAGAACCAATGAGGTTCATTCTCGTGTTGCGCTGCAAGTTTGAGCTCCTGCAAGAACCAATGAGGTTCATTCTCGTGTTGCGCTGCACGTTTGAGCTTCAGCAAGAACCAATGAGGTTCATTCTCGTGCGTTTACGCAGCACGTTTGAGCTTCAGCAGGAACCAATGAGGTTCATTCTCGTGCGTTTACGCAGCACGTTTGAGCTTCAGCAGGAACCAATGAGGTTCATTCTCGTGTTACGCAGCACGTTTGAGCTTCAGCAAGAACCAATGAGGTTCATTCTCGTGTTGCGCAGCACGTTTGAGCTCCTCAAGAACCAATGAGGTTCATTCTCGTGTTACGCAGCACGTTTGAGCTTCAGCAAGAACCAATGAGGTTCATTCTCGTGTTACGCAGCACGTTTGAGCTTCAGCAGGAACCAATGAGGTTCATTCTCGTGTTACGCAGCACGTTTGAGCTTCAGCAAGAACCAATAAGGTTCATTCTCGTGTTACGCAGCAAGTTTGAGCTTCAGCAGGAACCAATAAGGTTCATTCTCGTGTTACGCAGCACGTTTGAGCTTCAGCAAGAACCAATGAGGTTCATTCTCGTGTTACGCAGCAAGTTTGAGCTTCAGCAAGAACCAATGAGGTTCATTCTCGTGTTACGCAGCAAGTTTGAGCTTCAGCAAGAACCAATGAGGTTCATTCTCGTGTTACGCAGCAAGTTTGAGCTTCAGCAAGAACCAATGAGGTTCATTCTCGTGTTACGCAGCAAGTTTGAGCTTCAGCAGGAACCAATGAGGTTCATTCTCGTGTTACGCAGCAAGTTTGAGCTTCAGCAGGAACCAATAAGGTTCATTCTCGTGTTACGCAGCACGTTTGAGCTTCAGCAAGAACCAATGAGGTTCATTCTCGTGTTACGCAGCACGTTTGAGCTTCAGCAAGAACCAATGAGGTTCATTCTCGTGTTACGCAGCACGTTTGAGCTTCAGCAAGAACCAATGAGGTTCATTCTCGTGTTACGCAGCACGTTTGAGCTTCAGCAGGAACCAATGAGGTTCATTCTCGTGTGTTTACGCAGCACGTTTGAGCTTCAGCAAAAACCAATGAGGTTCATTCTCGATTTGCGCAGCACGTTTGAGCTTCAGCAGGAACCAATGAGGTTCATTCTCGTGTGTTAACGCACACGTTTGAGCTTCAGCAGGAACCAATGAGGTTCATTCTCGTGTTACGCAGCACGTTTGAGCTTCAGCAGGAACCAATGAGGTTCATTCTCGTGTTGCGCAGCACGTTTGAGCTTCAGCAGGAACCAATGAGGTTCATTCTCGTGTGTTTACGCAGCACGTTTGAGCTTCTGCAGGAACCAATGAGGTTCATTCTTGTGTTGCGCAGCACATTTGAGCTTCTGCAGGAACCAATGAGGTTCATTCTCGTGTTACGCAGCACGTTTGAGCTTCAGTAAGAACCAATGAGGTTCTTTCTCGTGTTGCGCAGCACGTTTGAGCTTCAGCAAGAACCAATGAGGTTCTTTCTCGTGTTGCGCTGCATGTTTGAGCTCCTGCAAGAACCAATGAGGTTCATTCTCGTGTTACGCAGCACGTTTGAGCTTCCTCAAGAACCAATGAGGTTCATTCTCGTGTTGCGCTGCACGTTTGAGCTCCTGCAAGAACCAATGAGGTTCATTCTCGTGTTACGCAGCACGTTTGAGCTTCAGCAAGAACCAATGAGGTTCATTCTCGTGTTACGCAGCACGTTTGAGCTTCAGCAAGAACCAATGAGGTTCATTCTCGTGTTACGCAGCACGTTTGAGCTTCAGCAAGAACCAATGAGGTCATTCTCGTGTTACGCAGCACGTTTGAGCTTCAGCAAGAACCAATGAGGTTCATTCTCGTGTTACGCAGCACGTTTGAGCTTCAGCAAGAACCAATGAGGTTCATTCTCGTGTTACGCAGCACGTTTGAGTTTCAGCAATAACCAATGAGGTTCATTCTCGTGTTACGCAGCACGTTTGAGCTTCAGCAAGAACCAATGAGGTTCATTCTCGTGTTACGCAGCACGTTTGAGCTTCAGCAAGAACCAATGAGGTTCATTCTCGTGTTATGCAGCACGTTTGAGCTTCTGCAAGAACCAATGAGGTCATTCTCGTGTTACGCAGCACGTTTGAGTTTCAGCAATAACCAATGAGGTTCATTCTCGTGTTGCGCAGCACGTTTGAGCTTCCTCAAGAACCAATGAGGTTCATTCTCGTGTTACGCAGCACATTTGAGCTTCCTCAAGAACCAATGAGGTTCATTCTTGTGTTACGCAGCACGTTTGAGCTTCTGCAGGAACCAATGAGGTTCATTCTTGTGTTGCGCAGCACGTTTGAGCTTCTGCAGGAACCAATGAGGTTCATTCTTGTGTTACGCAGCACGTTTGAGCTTCCTCAAGAACCAATGAGGTTCATTCTCGTGTTACGCAGCACGTTTGAGCTTCAGCAGGAACCAATGAGGTTCATTTTTGTGTTGCGCAGCACGTTTGAGCTTCAGCAGGAACCAATGAGGTTCATTCTCGTGATACGCAGCACGTTTGAGCTTCAGCAAGAGGTTCATTCTTGCACGTCAAGCTGGTTCGGTTGAGCTTCTGTTTATATTCGCTGATCAATGTTTATATGTGAATAAAAGCCTAAATCCAATCTGTTCGTTATGTAAAGGCATCGATTCTCTTAATAAAATTTGGACTAAACCACTCAATTCATATGGATAAGTTTTACAATCTCTTTATAAACATTTTGAGGCTTCAAAGTTGTAGTTGCGTAGCTGTCAATGGAGCCACAGAAAACTCTCAGATTTCATTAAAAATATCTTCATTTGTGTTCTGAAGATGAATGAAAGTATCACGGGTTTGTAATTAAATGAGTGTGAGTAATTAATGACAGAAATACTATGCAACTATCCCTAAAATTTGAGTGTTATATATAACATGTTATAACATGTTATATATAAAATTACAAAATGTATATGTTCAATAACGTAAATTCTTGAATTCATGAATTCACCCCATAATGGATAATGTAAAAATATCTTCTCTAACAATGTCAACATCTTTCAACAGCAGATTTTTTTTTTTGAAGTTGGCCTTCATTCATTGTGTTTTTTGTTTTCGTTCACAAACTGAGGAGCTGCAAGGACAGTTTTTATGAAGGATGCTAGAAGTGTGTGCATGTTATGCTTTCTAGAAATATTTTAATAAAAGCATTCAATAGTTTAAAGACACTCAAGTACTCATCTAACTTTAATATATTTTATGTCCCTGAACAGAAACATGTTTCCAGCCAACCTCGTTCAAGCCACATTTCAACAGGTAAGAATCAACAGTTAGCCATGAATTATTAGTCACTCTCCTTATAATGTGTTATAATGTGAACATTTGATTATGAACCATCAAATGAATACATGAAACATGAATGCATACTTGAGAATCTGCGATTCAGATGCAGCCACTGCTTTTGTTAAAGGAGAACTCCGGCGCAAAATGAACCTTTGGTCTAATTACACATTGTTACCTAGTCAACCGTTATCTGAGATTTGTTTTCATGATTATCGAATGTAAATAGTTTTATCTCTACAAACAGTTTAGCCTATAAAGCTAGTATAACGCTAGTATATTGGGCATAGTGTAATGACAAATAAAAATCGCTTGTTAATACCACTAACAAGGCTCAAAATAGCCCCACACTAACACGGTAGCATAATGAGGGTCCCTACCTTCAAACCGAAGCATTGAGAACTTTGTCAGTGTCCAGACAGTTTAATAAGAAGATATTTTAAACATACAGTCAACTTCGCGTATACAGGCAGAATCCATCTTTGAAATACAGCCTTTACCAGTCGATCTACGAACGCCGATCCAAGCCTGCTGTTCGCGCTCACCTTATCACAACTTATAGCTCGTTCACATTCTTACCAGCGCACTTGGATCGGTGTTCGTAGATCGACTGGTAAAGGCTGTATTTCAAAGATGGATTCTGCCTGTATACGCGAAGTTGACTGTATGTTTAAAATATCTTCTTATTAAACTGTCTGGACACTTACAAAGTTCTCAATGCTTCGGTTTGAAGGTAGGGACCCTCATTATGCTACCGTGTTAGTGTGGGTCTATTTTCAGCCTTGTTAGTGGTATTAACAAGCGATTTTTATTTGTCATTACACTATGCCCAATATACTAGCGTTATACTAGCTTTATAGGCTAAACTGTTTTTAGAGATAAAACTATTTACATTCGATAATCATGAAAACAAATCTCAGATAACGGTTGACTAGGTAACAATGTGTAATTAGACCAAAGGTTCATTTTGCGCCGGAGTTCTCCTTTAACACTCGCATGAGCACCTACAGTAGATGTGAATAATCATGCACTGCAACAGTGATTTTCTTTTTCAGTCTTTTTGTCTTGTTTTCCAGGACAAATATCTAAACATTCTTAAATCAAGATACATTAACTGAAGAAACCAAAATGACTTAAGACATAAAATATTTTTGATCAAAATTAAAGGGTTAGTTCACCCAAAAATGAAAACTCTGTCAGTAATTACTCTCCCTCATGTTGTTCCAACCCCGTAAGACTTTCGTTCATCTTCGGAACACAAATTAAGATATTTTTTATTAAATCTGAGAGCTGTCTCACTCCTCCATAGGCTTCTAAGGGATCGAAACTGGCCGGCCCAAAAGTTATGAAAGACATCGTTAAAAATAGTGCGAGTGACTACAGTGGCTCAACCTTAAGTTTGTCAAGCGACGAGAATACTTTTTGTGCGCAAAAAAACAAACAAAAATAACGACTTTATTCAACTATTAATTTCCTTCTCTGTGGGCCGTGATATTTCACGTAGTGTACGTCACACGCATCACACACATGACCAGCGTCGGCCAATAGTGAGCCTGGGTGTGACGTGCAACACAGAAGCTTTGCGCAATATCACTACGTGAAATCACTCGAGGCCAACAGAGAAGGAAATTAATTTATTTTATTTTATTTATTTATTTATTTAATATGGACATAGCAATAACATTGGACGAACCAGATGTATTGTTTAAAGTGTTATAGCACATGCGCTAATTTTCAACACCTGTCCATAGGGGCTTTTACAACAGATAAAAACACATTAAGCAAAACAAGGCAAAACCATAGTTGAAAAAAGTCGTTATTTTTGTTTGTTTTTGCGCACAAAAAGTATTCCCGTCGCTTGATAAACTTAAGGTTGAGCCACTGTCGTCACTCGGACTATTTTAACAATGTCTTTCATAACTTCTGGGCCGGCCAGTTTCGATCCCTTAAGAAGCCTATGGAGGAGTGATCCAGCTCTCAGATTTAATCACAAATATCTTAATTTGTGTTCCGAAGATGAACGAAAGTCTTACGGGGTTGAACAACATGAGGGTGAGTAATTACTGACAGAATTTTTGCGTGAACTATCCCTTTAAGTGATTTAAACTTAAAACAAGAAAAAATATTTTCCAATGGAGTAAAAAAAAAAGAAAAAAATTAAAGAGAAAACATTTTTCTCATGTCTTGAGTGTATAAACGAGTAAATGCATTTTGATTTAGGAATGTTTAAACATTTGGCAAAAATCCTGATGAAGCAGGTTAGATGCTCTGCGATTAGGATTGCTGACTAAGGGGCCATTTACATGACAGTGTTTTCAACTAAAAACAGAAAACCTTGTATGCGTTTTAGTCATTCAATTACACGACAATGGCATTTTGAAGGCCTGAACATGCAAACTTTTGAAAACAGGTTTCAAAGTGCACGTTTTTGAAAAGGACAGCGTTAGCATCTCTGTGTAAACTACAAAAATGACAATTTGTGAAAGTGCTGCCTGAACAGACATATTATATGTTCAGTCTATTGTGTTTCTTTACAATGTGACATCGCCACCTACTGGCCTGGCAGTGTTTTCGCAGATCAGTGTTAAAGCTGCAGTAGGGAGTTTTGAGAAAACGTTGACTTAGCCTGAAAATTTTAACAAGCACAACTTACAGGTCCCACCTCCTTGCTCTCTGCTGCGCTACAGCCCTCCCTCCACAGCTCGTCCTCCACAGCGGAGCCTGTCATGAACGCGCAGGCTAGTAAACAGGGCCACCGATAACGGCGGATAGAAAGTTATATGGCACATTCACTAATAGGGACTAAACGTCAATAATATGCTTTACATTGACTATGGCCTGCCCATACTTTGACTACAAACTTGGTCCTCAAATCATTATGTATTTTCCAATAGCCTACATGTAACTTTATAACGGTGCACTCTTTCTATAAGTTATAAATAGCTAGTAAGATAACGTTAATATAACGGTAACTAACGTTACAGTATGTAAGTAATTATTCTAGCGATATATAATGCTAGATAAGGTGTGCTAGTACATTATTTCAGCAACATGACAAGCCAGTGAATTAACAGGTTTCAATTGTTGCTTAGCAGAGTGCGTGACATTTTATCTACATGTTATGCGGCTAGAGTTTTGACACCGAGTCAATGGGCTCTGTGTAATTCTTTCTTTTTCGCTTGTTTATCGTCATCGGTCTTTTTCCTTTTACCTCTTTGTTTTATGAGCAGGTGTCACTCGAGAATTGGCAGTTTAGGTTGTTTCTCCGTCATAAGCACAGCTGCAGCACGCCGGCAATCTTGAGTTTGAACGAAGGCTCGCGCTGTGCAAGAGAGGGGTGTGATCTGCGCGTACACGAGCGTGATTGACACTGCTAAGACATTCCTCCTGGCTCTGATTGGTTGTTTCTGACCGGGAGCGTGTATTTCTAGCAAATGGCAATAGGACCACTGGGAGAAGCCAGAGGAGCTTGATTTTTACACAGATTATCTGTCTCATATTCTACTGTCAGGACATAATGACAGTTTTAGCAAATACATGTTTTCAAAAGTTACCTACAGGAGCTTTAACGGGGATCGATTTGACAACGTTGCCGTCTGTACACAAAAACCGTAATGGAGAGATTTTTGCATTTGCATTTGAGGAGCTTCTGCTTTGATCACAATCAGGGGCGGACTTAACCATTAGGCAAAGGTCGGCAATTGCCTTGGGCCCCGAGCTACCTAGGGGCCCCCAAAATGCCCCATTAAATTATGCTTAAGTTTTTATTTATTTTTTACTTTTCGCAAATTATATATTTCTAAAAAACATTTGCGAAAAAAGGCATCAAATCATTAGTGTCGCAGACAGGAGGGGGCCCCCCACCTCACTACATTGGACTATTCCATTATCTCACTTTCTGCGTGCGAAAGTGACAAGGCTAATACGCCAAAAAAACTGACGGAGAAAAATAAGTTATTGACAGACAGAGTAGGCTACAGAGTGACAGACAGAGAAGCTACCCAAGCGGTGCTGAAAAGGCAGGAAGCGGGAGGAAAGCAAAACGTTTTTAGCAAAATTGCAGAAGGTAACAAACTTTTTTGTGATGCCCGGTATGTGCTAACGATATGTTACAAGTCCATGGCCGTAGCCAGCTATAAGGTGACCGAGGTCCGGAACTCTGTCATTTTTTAAATTCAAAAATAAAATGTCAAGCTCTCTGAATGATTAATTAGCCGTTTAAACCACCTCATATGAGTGTTTGCAATGCATGTTGCTGCGAGAAGCTAGCGCAGTGAACGGGGCTTGAGAGCGCGCTGTGAGTGAGGGCGCGCGTGCAGCCTCCGTGTTGCCAGATCCACCTAATGGATAGGTGGCAGTAGTCTTCTAGACTTGTTTTTTCTGATTTAATGTGACACTTTAGGAAATTATTAAAGTGGAAAGTTGCATGTTAGGGTTAGTGATATATTAATCTTATTTGCAAAACACAAGCTTTGAACTTATTTCGGATTATTATTATTTTGTTTTCTTGTTTTTCGTAGCAATATCTGGCAACATTTTACTGTCTGCATTAATAAAAAAAAGCTTATAGACAAACTGTAATTGCATAAAGCTACCACATTCGGTAGTAAGACAAACGCAATGATCATCGTGATTATCTGTAAGAAATGTATAACACTAGCAAAAACAATAACATAATACGAATGAAATTTGCCAAATAACTTACTGGCCAGCAGGAAGACGGCTTATGCTGTTTAGTTAACCTTTCACAAAGTCATCATAAAAACATTAATTAAAGCAGTGTTTCTCAACTAGCAATCTATTCAGTCAGCATATTTGTGTTTGATCTCTGTGAATTACAGAAATATAAGACTTGCTAGACCTACTTTTTTTCTATATTTCTTTGCACAAAACTCTCCAGAAAGTGCCATTTAATAGTTTATTTAAAAAAAAAAAAATCTGACTTTTTTTTTTTCGTTCTCTTTTAAAGATCGGATGGGGGGGCCCCACACTACCTTCGCCTTGGGCCCCCAATTTGCTAAATCCGCCACTGATCACAATGTGCTTGACAAACTGAAGTAAAACAAAAAGAGATTCATTAAAAAAACTTGTCTCTTTAGTATCGTACCAACAGTGTGCCCATAATGAAGTCGGCCAAGGCGACAGTGGCCACCAGTCTGATGGAGAGCACCACTCGCCGCACGCTCATCTACGGGATACAGGACGACAATGGGACGGACATCCAGAACTTTCAGCTGGATTTGACCCCGCCTCCTGACGTGGTGATGCGAACGCTTCCTGGCACCAGTGAGGGCATGAACGTCTTGGGGATTGTCATTTTCTCTGCCACCATGGGTGAGAATACTGCAACAAATGAAATATGTGTTCATATTTTTATTATATCTCACATTTGCATATCGCTGGTCATTTTTGCGCAGGCATAATGTTGGGCAGAATGGGTCCTAACGGCAGTGCACTGGTTAACTTTTGCCAAAGTCTAAATGAAGCGGTGCTGAAAATCGTTGCGATTGTCATCTGGTAAGATTTTTTTTTTTGTTATAAAAATGAATTTATTTATTTATTTTGCTTTGATCTTAATGTTAAGAAGGTTAAAACATTACCTACTTAACCTTGTAAAGATGGAGAGATAGTAAGAAAAATCTAGTTTATTGAACATTTAGACAAATTAGGAAAGAGTTTTTGTTTTTTTAATGCATATATAGTGAGAATATGGAGCTCATACTCGAAGAGGAATAACAGCAAAACAAACTGAGCAAAAATATGCAATTTAATGACCAAAGCTCTGTAGTTTTACAACATATAATTCAATGCAATACAATGATTATTGAGAGATGAACAAATAAACCTTCCTCAAAAGCCTGATGGATCATATTTGATACATTGTATTGTTTCAAAAAAAAAAAAGATGTATGGATAATCAAATAAACCTAAGTTGCTTCAGTCCAGTAAGTGTTCATCTTGAAATATCACTAACAATATAAAAATTATTTGCGTAATTTTTTGCGTATATCAGTAAAGAATTCATAGCTAAAAGACTAGCAATTATACTAAATGGCCTTTTACTTGCTAAAGAAATGTATGAACTATCACTCAAATGACATTTGGTAGATCGTTCATGTGCAACAGGTTCTTCAGCAAAGTTTTGATCATATTGATCATTTAGGGGCCTTATAAACTTTTGTTTCAAATATGATACAGTAGGCTTTATGTGGTTAAGCAATAGGATACATTTTGAATATATTGTTTCTGTGCAGGTACTTCCCGTTTGGCATCGTGTTTCTGGTGGCCGGTAAGATCCTGGAGATGAGCGACCCGTCGGCGATGGGGAAGAAGCTCGGCTTTTACGCTATAACTGTGGTGATGGGCCTCATTCTGCACGGCCTCTTCATCCTCCCCAGCATGTACTTCTTCATCACCAAGAAGAGCCCCATTGTCTACATCCGAGGAATCCTGCAGGCGCTGCTCATCTCACTGGCCACGTCCTCCAGGTACAACACACACCAACACCAGCCAAGGACGAACACAAACATCACATTCATCCTGTTAGTCTTCTTTGGCAAAATCCCTTTATCTAACAAAAGCCAGTTCCTTAATGACACCATCCTCCAGAAGTGACCAGTTTTGGTCGTAAAACAGCGCAAATGTCAGTATTAGCAACACATTTAATAAATTCTGTGGTGTTTTGTGGTATTAGCTGCTTTGATGGATAATACCATCATTTACATAGATACTGTTCAAAATGTGGGGTCAATAAGATTTTTTTTTTATTGTTTATGAAAGAATTCTCTTATGCGCATCAGTAAAAAAACAGTATGTTGTGAAATATTATTATACATTTTAAAATAACTGTTTTATATTTTAATATAATTAATTCCTGTGATCAAAGCTGAATTTTTAGCGTGTGTGTGTGTGGTGTGTGTGTGTGAAAACCTTTACCCAGTTTCATACCATTCCGATTAAGTAAAAAAGAAAAAGAAAAACTGAAACGTAAAATTTCCTAGCAGTAAAAGTACAATATCATAGCAGTATACCCATAAATTACAACACAAACATTCATTTTAACTGTTACAGTAACGATCCCATTCATTTTCCACTCAATGAACATGTTTTCTGCCATTATACGGTTTGTTTCCCAGGAAAGTGTGTGTCTTGAGAGGTTTTGTGTATGATGTTTGGAGTGCTTACAGATTGCTGTAATCTGTAAAGCTGTAATTTTGACCTACACACCATCGGGAGGAGGTTGTGACCCTGCGTCCAGGATAGAGAGAGCCAAAACATTATAAATATTGCACAAGCACTCATACACATGAGAAATTTCATCAATGAATTTAGTTCACATGTTGTGTCCAAAAGAAAAATGAATAAAAAAAGTATAATGGTTGTGATTTTTCTCTCTGTTGTGCAATATTATACACTTAAAAACATAGCTCCACCACACAACACTCATCTGTAATTTATTCATAACAACCTCGGTCTTTCTAGCAGTAGTTGCATCATTTGAACGTTTGCACATGAATATTTTGTTGTGTGAGGTCAACCGGTTATACAATATGAAGAGAATCTGTTGCAACAGGTGGTGAAATATTTTGGGTCACACGGAATTTGCACACCATCTTTATTAGCATTTTTCTACCTGGATTATGGAGATAAAAATGTGGATTTTCTCAGAATGGCAAATTGTGTTTCTGATGCTAGCTGTATATATATATATGAATAAGATTAGCCACAAAACTAAACCAATAAATCTAATAAACAAACATGTAAGTGTTAGAACAAATGTTGAATTATAGGAGTTAGAATATGTTTGAGTTCATATTGAGATCTTCTGATTGCAGACTTTGGTATTTAGGTAAAACTAAGTTGTTGAAATCTCTTCTGGATGGAGTGTTATTTTAGTTTTATTGAAATTTTATATTAGCTTTTAGTTTTCATTTTCATGAAGATTTTAGTCATTTTATTAGTTTACTGTTTTTTTTTTATATTGCTATTTAGCTTTAATTTATTTTTCATTTGTAGTTTTAGTTAAATTTAGATTTTTATTTATTTCCTGGTAATATTTTTAGTGCTTCAAATTTCAATTTATTGCCAAGGCAATGAATCTGATTTTCATTCTAATATTTTATATTATTTTATACCAGGTGTATTTTTTTTTTACCAGAAATGTTTTAGTTTTATTTAACAATAGTAACCCTGAATGAGACATGAGTTTTAACACGAGATCCTTTTCCATCTGCAGTTCTGCCACTCTGCCTATCACCTTCAAGTGCCTGCTGGAGAACAATCACATCGACCGGCGGATCATTCGCTTCGTGCTTCCCGTGGGAGCCACCATCAACATGGACGGCACTGCGCTGTATGAGGCGGTGGCAGCCATTTTTATCGCCCAAGTCAACAACTACGAACTAGACTTTGGCCAAATCATCACTATCAGGTTTGTTTGCAAATTTAAGTAATTTAAAGTTTCTCTTTGATTTTTTTCCCCCCATAAAAGGGTTTTATTGAAATACAAAGTTCTGTCATGAAACTCTAGATGGCGGTGGCTGATTGGTCCTTGCTCGCAATCACATCATTCTAGGGCACAGCTGATTGGTTCCTGCTGTATCAGTAGCCAATGAGCTGGTCAGCCACCAAATACTTGGTTAGCATTTGCTGTAGCAGTTGCAGTGCGCTTTCAGAAACCCTCCACCTTCCCCAGCTCCACTAGCCTGGTTAAAACCAGACCATTCTCAGTTGTAACTGAGTTATGGTCTGGCAAAGCGTCATAGACAAATCATTTCCAGAGGAGCGTCACCAACAGACGTCGCGGATAGACCTAAACCCAATCAGAGCGGTGAAGGAGATGACGTATGCAGAGCGGCGGAGAAACATCTCCGAGTGTTGTTCTTTGCTCGGTTTTTAACAAAAAGGAAACGTTCAAATCGCTTAAAACAGACGCGATAGCTGATTCGAACGAGTGATGTTCGACGGCGGCATCCATCTTTGTAATGTAGGCTACAAAATCTGCTTCAAAATCCCAGCGCTGTCGTCATCGTGTAAAGCCCGCCCCAACGTTTCTGATTGGTGCCGCGATTTCGACGGATTGGAAATGGGCTTGAATGAGCTCTTGGCGAGACTAACTTTCAGAGCAAATCTAAATTTGCCGGAAGTTGTCTGGGTTTTCCCAGGCTACAGCTCCACCTGTATAGATCTGCTACGGGTAATTCATGTATACTGTATTGTACAGCAGCAGCATGTCTTACTTGCTCACAGCAGCGTGGCGTGTGTGTATTAACAGTAGCAAGTCCCATACTTTTTCTACAGCAACAACCAACAGCAATAGTAGCAGAAATAACAGCAGCAGAAGCAGTGTAGCAGATCTATTCCACCAAGACCAAACATATCAATATTGTCACATCCATTACCATGACAAAGACTCTGAGAGTTGTCATGACAGAACTAATATAAGTGCAAATATAATGAAATACTACTATGCTTGAGGCTGAATGATTGCAGTTAGCTAAAACTAAAATCCTAAAATAATTGTTACTTGAAATAAATTGAACTTTAATTGAAATCAAATAAAACCTTAAACTCTGTTTATATGTTTATATTATATGTATATATCTCTCATTTCATTTAGTATAACTTAATGCAGTAAAGTAACTACGAGTAAAATAAAAATGAATAAAAAAAGACATTTAAAAAAATTCATACACACAACCAAATTAATTTAAATTGTTAATTTAAACTATAATCGTATCTCAATAAAACTAAAATAACACTGGTATGAGAAATGTATCACTATTTGACCCATCAATCTGTTCACCAATCTGGCTAACTGGCTAGCTCTGGATTTACAGTATTTCGCACATACAGATCTTCATGATCCAGAGACCGAATGAAGCTGAAGAGACTCTTTAATCCAGCTGCATGATGCACAAAAGAGCGTTACGTAATAGCAGTCCATTATTTATGCAATTGTACAATTTTAGAGTAGCAGAATAACAATGCAAAGATTTGACCACGTCAAAGCTCTTCCCACATGTTGAAGTGGCCCTTCAATTTATACAAGTTGAAGTGCTTCAGTTTAAAGAATTTATATGCAATTTCAAGTTGCATTACTGTCTCAATAGGAATGAAAGTATACAAATATAAAATATATATAAAAAAAAACTACACCTATAATATATAAATATTCCCCAATATCACCATACCACAGTTTCATGTTGTGCTCAGTTTGAACTACAAAGAGTAGTTGCATGCAGGGTATTTATTTTGGCGCCCATATTAACAGGTTACAAATGCATAGCAGAGTTTCAGTGACTATTTTTGCTGAAATCAGTAAAAGTGCGCCCGCCTCACATGCCAGAAACGCTGGTTCGAATCCCGCTCGGAGCGGTGCGAGGAGGAGTTACACTGGCTCAAATATGCATTTACTAATCCTGACCAAGAAATATCATATAATAGAATTAGTTTCTGAAACAATCTGAAATTTTCACTTGGCATTCAAATGTTTTACAAATAATTGACTCTGTTCGCTTCACATGCGTGCTTGATAGAACCACCATTGGTTAGATCTGTTGGCATGCAGCATTATCCCTCCATCATCCGGTCTGGACTAAAAGGAACACCAAGCACATAAATTGAAGTGCATACTTCAGAGTTCACTACATCATAGAGTGGCATGGAGACCTCACAATCTTGCGAACGAAAGGTCAGATGAAGAAATGGAGGGTAAGGAGATATATACGGATAGAGAGCCAGAGAGCATTTTGGGCTGCGCTGTTACAGGGATAAACTCCGCTGTCACATGGCTGTCTTACCACAGGATTATTGTGCAGTTTTCAATTGTTCCCCCCACCCTTCCCAAAATCCATCAACTGTCTGTCTCTCTCTCTCATCCCTTGCTTTCAAATGCTCTGTTGCCAGTGTTGGGGGTTGAGCAAGAGCGAGCATGTTTCATGCATAAGCAGGGCAATAGCACAATGCAGTGTGCTAAGCAGTGCAACAATGACAAACATTTATTGCGGTGCCCATATTAACATGTTATCGAATTCTCTCTGCACGCATATGTTGGGCAATAGCACAATGCATTTATTGCAACGCCTATTTTACCAGGTTACAGAATTCACTGTGCAGGTCCACACGTATACAGTGCAATTTCAGCATGCATTTAATGCAGCTTTTATATTATCAACTTACAGCATTCACACTGTTATCAATGCAATAGCAGTGTATATTTAGTGGCAGCACTCATTGTACACACATAAGCAATACAAGAGCTGCATACATTCATGCAATAGTTGCATATATGTTTTGAAATGCCCATATTAGCAGGTCACATTCACAGTGTTCAAGCACATTTACTCTGTAAGCAGCACAATAGTGACATATTTAATGCAGTGGCCATATTAAGAGGTTATAGCACCTGCATTGCAATAGCACTATGCATCGCAGGCCCCTGTATTACCAGGTTACTGCATTCATTTTGCAAGTGTAAGCAGTGCAATAGCACATACTATGTACTAAAGTGCCTATACGTGTATTTTCTCTGTACACATAAGCAGTGCAGCAATGACAAACATTTATTGCGGTGCCCATATTAACATGTTATCGAATTCTCTCTGCACGCATGTAGGGCAATAGCACGATGCATTTATTGCAACGCCTATGTTACCAGGTTACAGAATTCACTCTGCACACGTATACAGTGCAATATCAGCGTGCATTTAATGCAGCTTTTATATTATCAACTTACAGCATTCACACTGTTATCAATGCAATAGCAGCGTATACTTACTGCAGTCACCATATAACAAGTGACAGAACTCATTCTATACTATTACTTCTATTACTTACAAATTGTAGTCCATTACTGATTCCAAATTACATGACAGAAAATGCCATTTAAGGTAATGACAGGTTCCTCAAGGTAGGACTCATCAGAACCTCATTACTTCACTAGAAAAGACCAGAGCGACTTTTATTCATCCTGTTGCATTAAAAATACTGTGTAGATCGAGGTGTGACATCGATATATGTTGTTGCTCAACAAAGCAGTGCACATTATATATAACTGTGTGTTGAAAAACGTGGTAAAGCTTGAGTGTGTGTCACTCGAGTTGACTAATGTTCTTCTAAGCCTGCGAGGGACGAGTTGTATATGCTTGCATCCGGCAAGAGCTGTTTTTTGTTCAGTTGCTCATTCTGTGTTTGATTTGATGTGTATGTTTATACTGTTTGCTTTCGTCCTGTAATAAATTAAGGCTGGTTATCTGTCATTCAAAACAGTTGCAAGCAGTTGTTGCTAATATAACGGGATAGTTCCCCCCAAATTGAAAAGGACCTCATGTATTTACTCTCAATGGTCTCTATTTTGTTGAGTAATGATTTGTTTACCATGTTTTCCAGTATTACAGCGACCGCAGCGAGCATCGGTGCAGCCGGGATCCCACAGGCCGGACTGGTCACCATGGTAATAGTGTTGACATCCGTGGGACTGCCCACCGATGACATCACTCTCATTATCGCTGTTGATTGGGCCTTGTAAGTATCGACATGTGCTGTATATTTTTAGACTTTCACGTAGAAAGTAATTTTTTTATCAGTGCACCGTTAGGCAGTTCACAGATGTTTTTGCATTCTACTGCGATGCTTTTCCATTCTTTTTCTACATAAACAAACATGTGCTAGGGAAACATGGTTGTAATTTTCCCATCATGCTCTATTTTTATCCATCATTTGTATCTATCTATTTGTTTTATCCATCAGTGTTTGTTCATTAAAGGGGACCTATTATGTCGTTTTACAAAGTCTTGATTGTGTTTTTGGGCTGTACTATAATATGTTTGTATGCTTGAATGTTCAAAAAACTATTTTTCTCATATTTGACCTTGTCTCTTACCCGTATCGGGGTGCGTTTCCAAAAAGCATTGTTAGCCAACTATGGCCGCAAGTTCCATCATTACCAGGAGGTCTTGACATTTTTCAACTTCAACTTTCAACTTTTTCTCTCTCCAGCCACTGTGGCTAATGGTTTTCCAAAGTTACTAGCAACTCAGCATTTTCACTGGCCACAATTTTGACATCGATACCATGGGGAAATATAGATATTTTTTATATTATCTCATAATTTGGCCGCAGGTATATTAGGCTGCTGTCGCTTTAAGACCCGACGCACAGATCCATTATACTGTTACACATGAGTTTCTTTCTCAACTGTTTACATTCACTTAAAACATGACCGTGTTTACGTAAATCCTTGCCAAGACTGGCATTTTGACATTATTTTGTGTGTATCTGACACTTGTGCGTACCTGCTCTAGTACGCTCTGCAAACCCTGAAATGACATAAGAGGGAACTTACGATTTTAATGAAACATCTGCAAATGAAGCAAAAACATGGAGAACAAAAATAGCAAAGTAGTCTTCAGATGCCATGTTCATTATCTACAGCAATTATCTGATTAATGAATTGATGTAATTACTCTACCACCTGTGTGATGTCATTAACTACTGTTGATCCAACGTGGTTCGAATGACAGATGTGCGACAGTTACTACGTTTTCAGGAAACAGTCATGACTAGCTAGTTATTTTCTCCAACAATGCATTGTACTATGGTGGTTAAGCATTGAGTTGTCGTTGCACGGGAAATGCACCCTTGTTTAGTTCCTGTCTCTATGAAGCCCCTCCTTCTGAAAAGCACAATGTGCTCTGATTGGTCGGCTGGACCGGTGTGTTGAGATTGGTCGAGCGCGAGTGTGTTTTTGGGAAATGTCTCGCCCCTACCATAACCGGCAGTTTCAACACACTACTAACTAACTCAACCAGGCCCCGCCCCTTTATTCTGCATATGAATTATTTAAATTAGGAATATTGTGACGTGTTTGTTCCCGGAAGAAACTCAAGACTACAATGGAGGCGTTTCAGGGAGTTCAGAAACACTGACACTGATATAGAGAAGAACTCCCGCTGGAGGGACTTTAAAACCTTGCAGAGCTTTTTCATGCTCAAACTGCAACATTACACACTAAAGAAAGATTTAAGTGAATCTTAACATCATGTCTGTTTGTCCTCACCTCTTCAGAGACAGATTTCGCACCATGGTCAATGTGATGGGAGACGCTCTGGCCACAGGAATCATGGCCCATATCTGCAGAAAGGATTTCATCAAAGAGGGAGATGGGGTGAGTTCCCTAAAAACATCATATCATATCAGTAGTTGACAAATACCATGGACCTATTTAATTCCATCCAAATCAAGATAAATCATACATAAGATCTTGTATTGCCAATGCAAGAGTCCAGCACTCTGTAAAGTCTCCTCCAGCACATCCCAAAGACTTTCAATGAATTTAAGCTCTGGACTCAGAGGAGTACTCATGTGTGAAAATGATTCTTCATTCTCTTTCACAATCTGAGCCTGATGAATCTTGACATGGTTGTTTAAGAAATGAAATGCTACCATTAGGGTTAGAAGAACTGTTCCCAAACATATAACATGATAGAAACATAAGAATCACTGCAATAATGATCTAATCATAGACTCTTAAGCATTTGCCTATCCAAACAGTGACTTTTTTTTGGGCCGGGCAGTGTATGATGAAAAATTATAAATGCAAAATAGGAGGATTTTCACTAGTGCTCTCAAGACTTTTGGAACCCACTATATATATGGGAACGTAATGTATGTTGATGTATTGGATTTAGATGCAACAGAACGACTTCAGGAAACCGTTTCCACACACTCACACCTGTTTCCAAAGCAGCTTTACAAAGTATAGCAGTTCACAAACCCCACAGAGAGGAGACAATGCCAGGGAGAAACCTTGGGAGGATCGAACTCAATTCAACATATCCAACTATATTTACACAAACACAAAGACTGAGTTTGATCCTCCCAGGGTTGTCTCCTCTCAGTGGGGTTTGTGAACTGCTATACTTTGTAAATCTGCTTTGGAAATAATATGAATTGTAAAAAGCACTTTCTTTCAACAATTTCCCAAAATTACAAGTTGCATGGGCAAAGTCTTCACTGAAGTTCATATCTGTCCTCATGAAACACTGACAAAGACAAGTGTAATCTTAATTTTACAGCCACAACGTGATAATGATAATGAGGGAGATGTGAATAGAAAATAAGCATGTTTTGTAACTGATGAACATGGTTCCCAATAACACAGGAACACAGGGTTTCAAAGTTGTTTCCTTAACAATATGAAAGGTCACCTGATTCATAACTCTAAGGATGCGTGCCGTAATCAGAGATATCTCAAGGATACTGTATTGAAAATCAGAACAAACGAAGTAGTGTGAGGAGAGTTTGTGATTATTGCATGTCACGACAAGATTGAAAAACAGGGATTATGTAAATATGACATGATACCACAATGCTGACGCCAGCATTTTTGATCATTTTCACAAAACTTTCATGGACCCCAGAATATTTTGTTGGATGAATATCTGAACATGCAATATATCAAAAGGAAGAACAGACCCTTTGCTTTTAAACAGACAAATAAAAAAATCTAGCTTCGTGCATTCTTTTTTATCAACACTTCAATGTGGGTAAGTTTAATAAAAAAGCAACATTTTGAACGTGCATAAGAAACGATTTTATGAAAATGACGTGGCCTTATCTGTTTACCTGCAGCAAGAAGTCAATTAATATGCTTTGAAACTGCTTATACCATGGTCTGGGTGAATACTCGATTCTGATTGGCTGCAGGGTGTCCGTTAAAAAGTGATAGAGGACACCTAGTAAAGGAGTTCTGGTGAAACTGCCTGTTTACCGTTACAAATTAATAAATAAATGCGCTGCCTACAACAGCGGTGAGTAACCATAGCAACAGGCAGTCAAAGTATCCGTTAACAATTTGCTCTATCAAAACAAACATCTAACGTTAGTTAGATATTACATAGCCTACTAATACAACAATGAGCGACTTCGTTATTTCATCTTCAGTCTCTCACGGACTGACGGAGCCCAGTAAGGCCGCAGACTGCTCTCGCATCGATGGCCTGTCACCGACATTTTTTGACGGCTCTCCAGTCCAGCATCGGAGAGTCGACCTACAGCGGTGCTTCGGAGGCTGTGGTGGTTAGTGTAGACTAGTGTAACACATAGTGTTTTATGTGTAATAAAAAAATAACTATGCCTACCTTTGTGTTTCATGAAAAAAAAAAATGCATTTTTGAACCTGAAGGGTTCTACAAGCTGAGCGGACTATATATCTCAAGTTGCTAAATAAATCGTCAGGCAAGTTATTATTTGAAAAAACTAGATTTAGCCTAATTAAAATATAAACTAATGTTTTAAAAATGTTTTATTTGGCAAGTGACCATGGTATAAGCGGGTTAATGCCCTTCGAGGTGTCCGTTGTAAGGTTTTAATGGACTTCGGCGGAGGCAACCGTCCTCCGCTGCGCGTCGGCCGGTTTAACTTACACCTCGCCGTCGTCCATTAAAACCTGACAACGGACACCTCGTCGGGCATTAACCCTTACTTAATAGTTTGGGTTTTTGTAAATAGGACAATTATCATGCTAATTTAGACTATGTTTTGTGTTATATTGCACTGGCATTACAGAAAACTAGTTAATTCTGGTTAAAGTCCCCATGAAATCAAAATTGAAATTTTTTGGCTTTTGGTATGAATATGTTAGTCTTAATGTTATCTATAAGCTAGTGTGCTCCAAAAAAAAAGACAAAATGCGCATTTAGAAGATCTCTCATTTCCGCCAATATGATAAATGATTTTGATGACATCACTCTGCACTTCAGCTTCTCCTCAGATTTTCCGTCCAATCAAATGCTCAGTAGAATCTCAGGCTCCGCCCCCTACATTATAAATAGAATCTGAAGCCGCAGTTGAAATCAGTCACTTGTTCACACATTTACTATTTTCTACATGGTGAATGGAGATAGGGAACGATTCAGAGAGTGTAAATATGCTTTCAATCGGGGCGAATGAAGTCTGGTTTCATGTTAGTGTCACGTGAACCGGCGCAGATCCGGTCCAGAGACACAATAGCACAGAGCGGATCATATTATCGAGTCTCGCTGACCAGAAAACGTATCGGACCATTTGAACTCTGCACAGAATGCTGTATTTTAAAGCGATTTGTAGGAGATTAGGAGAAGAAACAGTTAGAGATTAGGAGGAAACTGCAGCTTTACCGAGCTCAAAGGCTCTGGCCGAGTTGTGAAATAAACTAAACACTATTGGCTATTTTAAAAAAGGAGAGGAGCTCTTCGATATGTCCCGCCCTGTCTTCCTGTTTCAGTGGAAATTACATCAACACATTGAATAATGCTGTGTTTCAAGGCACTTCAGCGGGCCTTTAAAAGGCAAATTTGACATCTTTCTTTCTTCTGACCACTGTAATCAATCTCTCGATATTTTTTTCATAGAACCCTATCGTGGATTTTTTCTTTTGCTATTGGAGCCAATGGGAATGCAAAACATATATGTTAGTAGTTTTCATTGCAAATGGTTAGGGAAAAATACCATTCGTCTTTATTTTTTGCTAAAAGCTGACTGAAGGCACATGTACACCATATGTTTGGGGGCCGTTTCGAATTATTCTTCAGGACATGTGAGTGCTTCTGTGACCGTGATGATCTCATTTTTCCACTCTTGGTTATTAGGAAGTGATTTAGCAGACGCTTTTATCCAAGAGCCACTTGTAGTTCAAGGACTATTTAACTGATTAGTTCAAGAGCAAAAAGTGCCCTCACTACATGATATTTACTTGGATTTCGTGACAAAAACCCATATTGTAGTCAAATCAAAACTTGCATCTATAACTGATGTGAAACGCACAGCCGAATCATAGCCATGCTGATATTCGCTAAACAGTGCATGTGTTCGTAAAATATTGCTTAAAAACTTGAGTAATCAAATGTTCACTTTGAGAAATTATTATATTCTTATAAAAGCAAATATGCATTAAAAAGTCAAAATCTTCCTGACAATTGCCACTTGATAAATAGTTAAATAGTGTATAGGCTATATCAAATATAATATCTGCGCTATTTCTATTTCACTACTTAAATATCATTTTGCTGTCATTAAACCAAAAGGAAGGTTTACATTTTCAATTTGAAATTGTTGCTTGAAATGTTATGCTCATAACATTAGTTAACATGAACTAACAATGAAAAATACTGCAGCATTTACCAATCTTAGTTAGTTAATATTAATCTCAACACATTTAATCTGTTTACATTTGTTGATGCACTGTGGAATACCACGAGCGTGAGCATTTTTATTAACTAAAATTAACAACGGTTAATAAATGCTGTAAAATATACACTCACCGGCCACTTTATTAGGTACACCTGTCCAACTGCTCGTTAACACTTAATTTCTAAGCAGCCAATCACATGGCGGCAACTCAGTGCATTTAGGCATGTAGACATGGTCAAGACAATCTCCTGCAGTTCAAACCGAGCATCAGTATGGGGAAGAAAGGTGATTTGAGTGACTTTGAACGTGGCATGATTGTTGGTGCCAGAAGGGCTGGTCTGAGTATTTCAGAAACTGCTAATCTACTGGGATTTTCACGCACAACCATCTCTAGGGTTTACAGAGAATGGTCCGAAAAAGAAAAAACATCCAGTGAGCGGCAGTTCTGTGGGCGGAAATGCCTTGTTGATGCCAGAGGTCAGAGGAGAATGGCCAGACTGGTTCGAGCTGATAGAAGGGCAACAGTGACTGAAATAACCACTCGTTACAACCGAGGTATGCAGCAAAGCATTTGTGAAGCCACAACACGCACAACCTTGAGGCGGATGGGCTACAACAGCAGAAGACTCCACCGGGTACCACTCATCTCCACTACAAATAGGAAAAAGAGGCTACAATTTGCAAGAGCTCACCAAAATTGAACAGTTGAAGACTGGAAAAATGTTGCCTGGTCTGATGAGTCTCGATTTCTGTTGAGACATTCAGATGTTAGAGTCAGAATTTGGCGTAAACAGAATGAGAACATGGAACCATCATGCCTTGTTACCACTGTGCAGGCTGGTGGTGGTGGTGTAATGGTGTGGGGGATGTTTTCCTGGCACACTTTAGGCCCCTTAGTGCCAATTGGGCATCGTTTAAATGCCACGGCCTACCTGAGCATTGTTTCTGACCATGTCCATCCCTTTATGGCCACCATGTACCCATCCTCTGATGGCTACTTCCACCATGTCACAAAGCTCTAATCATTTCAAATTGGTTTCTTGAACATGACAATGAGTTCACTGTACTAAAATGGCCTCCACAGTCACCAGATCTCAACCCAATAGAGCATCTTTGGGATGTGGTGGAACGGGAGATTCGCATCATGGATGTGCAGCCGACAAATCTGCGGCAACTGTGTGATGCCATCATGTCAATATGGACCAAACTCCCTGAGGAATGCTTCCAGCACCTTGTTGAATCTATGCCACAAAGAATTGAGGCAGTTCTGAAGGCAAAAGGGGGTCCAACCCGTTACTAGCATGGGGTACCTAATAAAGTGGCCGGTGAGTGTATATTGTTCAGTTGCCATGTTTCCATCCACCTATATTTATGTGCATTTTGGGATATCGCATACAAAACACTGGATGGAAATGAGCAATAAACTACGATGGAAACACATTTGCCGAATAAATCCCTCGATGCGCAACAAAAAGCTCATGTGACTTTGCCTCAACAGAGGCTGTGATTGGATAACTGGACTAACCAGCGGACCAATCACATCACAGCATCTCAAATGTTGATTTTGTCGTTCTAAAATGCCTGAGACAAAGTTTAATTCCCTCCCAGAAGCGTCTCACAAGATTGTGTTCCCAAACATTAGCATCCGAACGCAAGAGAACATGACAGAGTTTGAGTTTATGATGCAAGAAAAAAAAGTGACAGTAGTTTCACCAATTGCAGCAACATCCATTTTTATCACAGATAATTTGTGCCAATTTCCCAGGAAGTGCCAATTTTGTTCTGTTGAACACATGGGATTGAAACGCTGCTTTATTTGCGAATGTTTTATCTGAAATTTAAAGAGATAGTTCACCCAAAAATTAAAATTGTCCCATACTTTACTCACCCTTCAAGCCATCCAGGTGTATATGACTTTCTTCTTTCAGACGAACACAATCTGAGTTATATTAAAAAATATCCTGGCTCTTCCCAGCTTTATAATGGATGTGAATGGTACCTTGTTTTTTGAAGCCCAAAAAAAGTGCATCCATCCATCATAAAAGTAATCCATCCGACTCCAGGGGGTTAATAAAGGCCTTCTGAAGTGAAGCGATGTGCTTTTCTAAAAATAAAATAAACTATAAACTATAATCACTGGCTTCCGGTAACGGCTGTATGCGAGTCGAGTTCCAGCAGAAGAGTGACCTCTGACCCGACGCATGACGAGTGACCTCTGACCCGACGAATGATGTAGGAGTAGCGTAAGCTTAGGTGAGAGTCTACGCCTCTCGCGTTTCACACTAATAGGGCTTATGGACAACAAACTCAAGCTCCTCTGACATTTCTCTTGAAATATCCTCGTTTTAGACTTCTAATTCATGACCGGTGTTTTGTTTTGCTCTATCGTCTGTGCTTCCACATTCGTCAATACGTCATACATCGGGTCAAAGGTCACTCTTCCGCTGGAACTCGACTCGCGTGGGGCCGTTACCAGAAGCCATACTTTATAAAGTTATAAATATGGATATTTTGCTTACAAAAATGCATGGCTTTGCTTCAGAAGGCGTTTATTAACCCCATGGAGTCGTATGGATTACTTTTATGATGGATGGATACACTTTTAAGGCCGAAATTCGCGTCCGAAATTTTCGCACGTTAAAAAATAAATACGACCTCGCGTTATGTCAATTACGCTTGCACACTGCCTCCGAAACTTTCGTCCGTCATAAAAAAAATCGAATCGGGTTCGATTTTCTGCGTTTTTCGCATCCGCAGCAAGCAGTTTGAATGGTGTTTTGACAATTTAGAGCCACCGAATCACGCGTACGAAAATTTCGGACTCAGTGTGCAAGGGCCTTTAGGGCTTCAAAAACTCAGTTACCATTCACTCCCATTGTAAAGCTTGGAAGAGCCGGGATATTTATTTAATATATAACTCAGATTGTGTTCGTCAGAAAGAAGAAAGTCATCTACACTTTAGGATTAGTAAATTATGGGAAAATTTTTCATTTTTTGGCTGAAGTAACCCTTTAAATTCGCAACTCTGGATAGAAACATAGCTTTTAACCAATGCTAACACACGAGACCTTATTGTAAACTCATTCGAACAAAGCAGTAAAAGAATTGTTTCATTTGCCTTTTCCTGTTTCTCCATAGGTCCCTCTCATCTGCGAAACAAAGCCCGTGACTAACCCGGGTTTGCCAAACTGTCAGCAGAACAATGGTAGTTTCCAGCCCCCGCCGCCCGAGTGCAAACCCGAGCACATTCCTCCAGATGTGGCCCGTCTCATGCAGCTGGAGGAAGGGGTTCGTCCACCGCCTCCGGATCGGAAAAAACCACCCGTGCCCCCGCGCCACCTGAAACACAGAGACAAGGAACATTGTGCCATCGATATGAACGGTCTCGAGACTAACGTATAGCGACCATCGAAACCTTTCAGGGCGCAGACTGTAAAAGAGTCCACGTACACGGGAACGGACGACATGTTTTATTTCCTTTCCGTTTTTCATGAGGCAACACATGGTATGATCCTGCACATATGGGCCAATGCCACTGTTGGCAGCACATCCCAGTTGACCCAATCAGTGCATTAGATAATGCCAGGATGGAAAGAGAAACCAGGTCACCAAGCCAGCCTGTTTCTTTGGGTTCAGAGAGCCAAACTTTTCCTGTAGCTCAACAGAAACGTGATTCAAGACTGTCAAAAAGCACGAGTGAATTGTAAATACAACATAGCTATGTACTCTATGCGGTGTGTTTTTTTATTTCTCAAGTTTATATATAATTTTATATCTTATATTTGATTCTTGTCTCTTTAAGCAAGCCTTGTAAAATATTGTAAAGATCGCAGTTGTGCGTGAAAATCGACATTGACTGTGATGTTGAATGTTTTATGTTATCGGATGCACTGTGAAAAATGATTTTCTTGCTCAGTATTTTTGTCTTGTTTTCCAATATCCAAACATTCTTAAATCAGGATACAGTTACTTGAGAAGCAAAATAACATAAGATAATTAGACTTAAAAAATTAATTGACTTAAAACTAGAACAAATCTCTGCCAGTGGGGTCAGAAAAACACTTGTTTTCCCTTTCAATTAAAAAAGCAGAAAGCTAATTTTTTTCTTTGTTTTATCACTTAAATTTGATCATTTTTTAAGAATACAAGACTTGTAATAAGTATTTTGCTTCTCAAGTAAATGTATCTTGATTTACGAATGTTTCAATATTGGCAATGGAAAACAAGAGGAAGAAAATCAGTTTTTCGGTGGACATTCTCCTCTCCCGTTCTTGTGCGAAACACATCTGGGTCGGTCCTACTGTTCAGCGCTCGGCGAATTATTGCAACGACTAATTTAAAAAGCACTGAGGAAGCCATTTAAGGTAAGCAGTGCTAATAAATAAAAGTGTGATCCCAGTCATATATGAGCTGTGAAATTGCTGTATGATTATTCAAAAATAAATATTGGTATGTAATATACCATGCACATCTCAGAAAGTGTGCTAAATTAGTCCAGAAACACTTTACGCACGTTTGTGAGGAATATTATCTTACTGAATCTGTCTGTACATTAACCTTTATAAGCTTCTCCGTAATTTTTGAACGATTTCATATAATTTTCATAAAAATGGTTAACTCAATCTGAGTGCTTTAAAACTTGGTGATGTTTTGAATCTGAACAAACATGACGAGTCATGTTATTTTTCTTTAAAAAAAAAACCCAGATGGCATCAATCTGGCCCAAATGCACAATAAATGTTCATATTTTTTTCACAATTCTTATACACAAGCAATAGTTGCACTGCATTATGAATAGTTTGTGGCACATGATGTGTAAAATCATGCATGTTTGTGTTCATGTGCACTGGTTACAAACCTACTCAAGTTACCTTCATATGTCTGTGCCAATAAACTGGATGTTTATAGCCAGCTACCTGAAAAATAACTTATCAAAACTCATTTACTGAGCAAGACACTTTTCTTCTATTCTTCTAGACATTTTATGCTAATGGTTACTATAGAGTGCACCTTATTGGCATCTGCGGTTCCGTGAAGAACCTTTAACATCCAAAAATAAAGAATGGTTTTCGCTGCAATATCATAGAAGACCCATTTTGAGTTCCAAAAAAACTTTCAGTGAACAGTTTTTAAATGAACCAATTTATTTATTAGTGTGAAGAACATTTTAATAATCGTAAGAACCTTTTTTGATTATAAAGAACCTTTTGTGCAATGAAAAGGTTCCATTGATGTTAAATTGCTTGATCTTCATGGAACAATTGATACGATACCAATGAAGAACCTTTATTTTTAAGAGTGCGGATTCTTTATAACGAAACAAGGTTCTTTAGATTATTAAATGTTCTTTACCTCAAAAATAAAGGTTCCAAAAGGGGGTTTTCACAGTGATGCCATAGAAGAACCATTTTTTGGTTCCCCAAAGAACCTTTTCCATTATAAATAACCTTTTGTAGAATGGAAAAGTTCCATGGATGTTAAAAGTTCTTAATGGAACCATCAATGTCCAATAATTTTTTGTGGAATCTTTGCATTGCACAAGATTCTTTATAATGAAAAATGTTATTTACAGTTGTTTGTTCCAAAAGGAGTGATGCCATAAGAAGAACCAATTTTGGTTCCCCAAAAAACCTTTTAATGAACCATTTTTAAAAGAACCATTTTTTCTTAGTGTGAAGAACATAATGTATAGTATATTTAAAAGAACCTTTTTCCACTATAAAGAACCTTTTGTAGAATAGAAAGGTTCCATGGATTCTAAAGGTTCTTCATGAATCATTGATCCCAATGAAGAACCTTTATTTTTAAGAGAACGGTTCTTTTTAGGCTGTGTTCACACTTGGCATGATTGGTTCGATTAAATCGAACTCTGGTGCGGTTGCTCTATTAGTGCGGTTCATTTGAATAAGTGTGAACGCTGCCATCTGAACCCTGCTGCCACCAAACAAGCGGACCGACACCGCTGAAAAGATGCGTCTCGGTCCACTTCCAAACGAACTCTGGTGCGGTTCGAATGAAATATGAACGGACCAAAGACATCTAAACGAACCAAAAACAGGACGTGAAGTCACAAGATGCGACCCTAAAAAGGACAAAACGTTTTTTTCTCGTCATAGAACCGCGTCTCCTCGTAGCAGATCCTCATCTGTGTGTGTGACGGAGGGATTCCTGCTCCTGTTTTGACTCCTTTACACATTTTATGAGCTCTTCACGAGTTCAGCTGGTCAAAATGCCATCATTTGTAGCTACACACATACAACGAGCGCATTTATCCCTGCAGAACACAGCATTGTTTTTGATATTCAGTAAGTTCCGTCACGAAATATACGTAGTAAAAGCCGACCAATCAGGTTGTGAACATATCCCTATGCCTTTGGGTTCGGTATCTTTAGTTTCTGTGTTAAAATGCCAATGTGGACGCGAAGCGGACCAGGACTAAATGTTTTTGTTTTTTTTGGGGTCCGAACCAAACTAACCGAACTACAAGTGTGAACACACCCTAAAAGGTTCTTCAGAGAACCTAAAATGATTCTTCTATTACATTGCTGTGAAAACCCTCCTTCCAAACCAATATTTTTAAGAGTTTTGAAGCAACACTGAGAATCTGACAGTAGTTGATCTGAAGACAGTTTCTGCCAATACCAGCTATATCACCTCTTACGGCAATACTGAGTATCCAACTGTATTGCACGTTTCGTAACTCAGTGATAAAGTATTTGCGCTTGCGTAGAGTATATTTCAGGTCTCACTCGTGTATGTCGCGGTCTCTAATCTCTGATGAAACTCATTTGCGCTGATTACGAAGGCCAGTAAAGCTGTGGCACGCGGGCCGGTTCATGGCCGGCTGCTGTCGTCTCTCAGAGCTGATTAAAGCGCTCAGCTTTTCTCATTGAAATATATAGAGTGTTCCATGTGCTCTTTGTGATTAACTGAATTAGGATGAAATCCCTCTCTCAGCCTTTGACATTGATGCACAGAATCTGTTCTCCGTGGATAAACGCGGACGGGATTGCCATGCATGGAGGAGAAATGCGTTAGGTTCTGCTCCAGCTATGTAGAGAGAAGACACACGGATGTTTGAATGACAGCAGCTTCATTGGCAATGCCAATTGTTTTCTTATGATCTCAACTTTTTCATAAGGAAAGAAATGAAGCTGCACATCACGCACTTTTTCTCTGTTCAGATGCATCCTATAAACGTCCTACACGCTCAAGTTGGCAATGGCAGGCAATGAAATGAATTGTAGTGTTGAGATAACATTTAAACAGCTTTTGTTATGTTGAGCTCACAAGGTCAAGTTTAATAGTGACCATAATAAAGCAAGACAGTAACAAACAATAATGCGTGACCTTTTAGCTATTCTGTTCAATAGGAGAGATCTCAATTCAGTATTCTAAGGTAAACTTCTTTTTTAAAGAGTAAAAACATGTCACATTTGCACTTATAATTTATTTTTTCTCACAGGAATGACCAAAAATTAACTTGGCTAATTGTAAAAGATTCACTGGCCATTAATATTTCAACCAGCTATCTTGCTTTATTTTCCTCTCATTTGCTTGAAATATTTTTGTGAAAGGAATAGCCGGTTTCCTTTTAAATTTGTGTGGACATTTCGCACTCGTATTGCATTATGTTCAGTTGCAGTTTCTACAAAAGGAAGGAAATGGATTTCTGATTTACTCACCTAATCCCATTTTACTCTCATTCTGCTGGTTAGCCAGTGTTATTATTTGGACCAGACACATTGACATCTGTGCACCAATAAATATCCCCACTTCCTCAGATTACATCTGTTCTGTAGATAATTAATGATAGTATTCATGGGCCAATATTTCGGTAATACTGGGGGGGGGGGGGGGGGGGGCATCAATAAAGCATTTATATACACTCATTTGATCGTGATGATTATAGGCAATAATGCAGGGGGCTGCAAAGAGTTATTTCCTTTCAAATAATTTATCCGTGTTTAATAAACATGTCTGTAACACCCAAACCTCACTTCACACAACATGATGAGATTACAAGTGTGTTTGCACAGTCAGCGCTGGAAAGCACATCGTACACAAACCATTTGTGACCTACAAAAGGAAAAATAGCAGAGTTTCTTTTCTAAATAGGTGTATAAAAATGCAACCAAACACAATCGTGCACAGTTGAAAAATAAATATCAAGGGTTAAACACTTACTTTTGTAGGTGGTGTCAAAGGTTGTGAGTAATATCACAACCATATTTCACACATTTATCTGTCGCTTGTTTGCAGCTAGCGAAATTAGACAGATGCTAATGTGTATGACATGCTCTTTTCCTCAAAAAGCACACGAGGTAAAAGAAAATGATAGACTAGGCTACATTAAATAAAGGTAATAAATTATTTGTGTGGTGAATCGTTAGCTGAGAGGATGAAATTTGGAAACCTAATAGCTTAATACATTTTTGCATGTGATTTTAACCATGTTGTGTTCCAGTCACTTTGACCCTGAGAGGATTTGCTAGTTAATGTTATCGCATTGGACTAAAACAGACTGAATTTACTCACAGCTATGTCAGAACAACTTCCCAAAAACGTTTTGATAATTGTTGTTACACGTGTGTGGAGTTCCCGATCAAAAATAACATTTTAAAAATGTTTTGCTTCAGCGGTCTAACAGCACTCAATGTCAAAATGATGGCCAATCATATCGAAGAAGGCGGGGCTTAATGTTCACTGAAGACGAGTGTGTTTACAGCGATAGAGACTTTCATAGAGTAAACATTTAACATTTGACAATGACAAATGTTTTACAATGGATATGTTTAAGACCCACAGTTACATACAGTGATGCTAACTATTCAACCTTTTAAAGTAATTTCGCCATTTTGAATTGAAAATATGTAATCATTTAAATTACGTCATTCATAACTGAATGTGACAAGACAAGAAACGAGACAAAAAAAAACATTTATTTATTTTTTTGACATATTAGACATACCGATAAGAGTGAATGTGTGCATATTATAAAATAAAATATTATTTGCAAAGAGTTTAAATGGATTACTTCACAACTATATTAGGCTATATGATTAGACCTAGAACTTAATTTACCATTCTTCTTCTTTACTCCCTTAAATCCCATTTAATCCTTTAATTATTTAATTTATTTATTTTTTAAATTACATTGCATTTACATTGAAAAATAATGGAAAAGTAGCTCAATGGAATGAAAAAAATAAATAATAATAATGCATTTTATTTCTAATGCGCTTTTCTTAGACTCAAAGCGCTCAGTATCAAAATCTCAGTAGGCATGGGGACAAAAAGAGAGCATGTAGATGAATTCATAGACATGACCAGTTTTGAAATATCATCTGTGTTAACAGTGGCAAAATTAGTGAAAGTACAAGATACATTTAATGGAGCTATAGATATCTTGAACTTTCTCTGTAAAGTATTTATGAAATGTGTTACACCTCCCAAGTGTTTTGGTTATGAGGTTTTAGAAGTTAATTGTTTTAAACATCAATCTTGGATTACCTGCACTTTCATTAATCATATGCGAGTAATATTCCTCTCTGGTGGATTTAAGGGCAAGATGATATTTCATGCTGTTCTTCAAGCATCAGTTTATGGACCGTAAGACCAGTTTTTCTGTACAAGCGCTCAATCTTTCTACCCTTGGTTTTAAGTGCCCGCAATTCATTATTATACCAAGGGGATGATCTAGCGAAAGAAACAACTCGTTCTTTCAATGGTGCATAATATTAAGAATAGATGATAGCTATAGCAGAGTTGTAACTCCACAGAATCAGTCACAGGATGCTCAGCAGAGCTAAAGAGCAACTGGGGATCAATGTTCTTGATATTCCTACATGTTATGACGTGCTCTTTGGAAGCTTTTAAAGAGGCAGAGGTGGTAAATTCACAGGTTAATATATCACTGAAGTATAGCTCATCATTTATAAGTTGGACTGCATTTATAGCGCAGACCAAGTCCAATGTGTGTCCAGATTTATGAGTGGGGAAATCAACATGCTGGTTAAAATTAATACAGTCCAATACATGCATCAAATTAGCTGTTTGAGAACAGTCTGGGTTATCAACATGGATATTTATGTCCCCTATTGGCAACATATCTGAAAAATTTCAGATATTCTAATTATAAAAACCAATCTGTGTGACTGCTAAATGTATGCCGTCAAAGAGAATATTCAAAATGTTCAATGAAACGACCTGCGAAGATGACAGGCTCACTATCTCGGAGAATTAGAACAGATTTCAGTCTTCACAGGATTCGTTTGTCTGCATATTTGTGTTGCATGTCATGTGCAGTTACCCATCACTACACATTCATTAGTTAGACAGGAAATAAACATAATTTTCTTCTGGGAACTGGCTGTCAGTTTAAACACCCTATCTTCAACAGAAGAACTTTCCGTTCATTAAACTCTGAAAGCGATTTTCCCAGAAAATCCCCACATTCTGCACGATGAAAGAAGAACTCTAAAGCATAGCACGAATCTGTCTGCACAAAAAGTACATAGGCTATAGTTCTCAAAACTTTCATGATGGAGAAAAGTTAACAATTGACTGGCTCGAAAGGCTGTCACGATAAGTTAACTGAGAATTTTCTCACCCTTGTATCCTTCCAAACCTGTCTTCCGTTGAGAACAAAATGAGATTTTTTGAAGAATCTTCATGCAGGTCTTGAGGGTCCACATCTGCCAATTAAGCAGAACTGTGCAAAATTCAAAACTCTCTTTTAATTCATGAGTGTTCAATTTGAATAGAATTGGTCTAAACTGACAGGAAGTTGAATTGAAAAGACTTGGAATTTGGAATTCACGGATTTGGAATTCTAATTGTAAATTCAAAATAGATTTAACAGGAAATTGGAATTTTGGGTGCATTCTTGGGAAATTAAGTGTTAATGTCTGTAAATCTATCTGTAAGGCCTATAAAACCTTCAAACTTTAATGATGCTGTATGTAAAAAATGTTGTACTGTACTAAAGCATAAAAACACCATATGTTTGCAGATAGTTCATATTCAAGAATATATTCATATTCAATAAGCCAGTTATTCTTACTTTAAAATGTGAGTTCCGTGTGGGAAGTCTGTTTTTGTTTTGATCTGTCTGATCCCGCCCACTGCCAATTTACCCAATCGTATTTTGACACCCCGGGTTGCCAGTCGGCGGAAAACAAAGCAAACAAACTAGGTTAGAGATCGCAGATTCCCGACAAAAAAAGTATCGGCATCTATCTAAAAATCGCTATGTCCAGGAATATTAAAATGTGGATAAATCAACTTACAGTGTAAGACTCGTTGCCTTCTATTGTCAGTTGCGCTCGTTCCTGTTGCGTGTCCTCAATCTGGCAACCCGTGTGAGCGTCGAGTCTGAAGAGGAGGAGGCAGGGGAAGCAACTCTCTCCAATATTTTGAATTTGGACTGCAATACCCATTTCAACCACTAGCTGTCAATATTACATAGACTGATCTCATGAAATGGCGTATGTATGACACGCCATTTCGTATTTCCATTTTTGGCGTGCTATCAACACGCATAATCGCTTTTCAGCGTGTTTATCAACGCCGTTGACTTAACGTTATATTACTGTATATATATATGACCTACCCCAACCCCGTCCCTAAACCTACCCGTCACTGGGGTTAATACCATTTATGAGTCTTCCCCTACCGGTTCCATTTTTCTACCTGCAGTTCCAATTCAATTCAAATTCAGGAATTGATGGGAGTTAAAAAAAAAACATTCTCAACTGATTCTGAATGGTGCACAATCCAGCAGTTCCAAACAAATAGATATATCCCCTCTTATGTTACGTTATGTTACAAATCTTTCAAAATCATCAAATCTTTTTAAATCAATAGATTTGTGTGAATAACACCCCAAAATTGAAGTTGTTCTTCATGGGAAAACTGTCTAAACATCAAACTATCAATGATATAAAATGTATTGTTGCATATTGATGCACCACTTTTGAATCTGAATGAGATTTCATGTTTCCACATGACTTCAGAAGACCATACACTTTAAGTCAGTCTTCCTTCACAGAAAAAAAAGAAATACTCAGATGAGCCTTTTCTCTGGAGAAAGAAATTATAATTTCATAGCACAAAATGGTTTCATTCATGTAAACACAGTGAGTCATGAGTCATGAATTAGCAAACACCACAAAAACAAACAAACAAAAAAGACAACCACTAAAACTTTCCGGTATCCTGCACCAGATATTTACATACTGTATATGAGACACTTGTTTTCTTACTATTGCATCTGATTACAACATAAAGCCAAATGAAAATAAAGCCTTTTCATGTCTATAATATCTTCCCATGCACTCGGATGTAATCAGTACATGCATTTAGAAATGAATCACACTCTGTCAGCAGCCAAAATGCATGTGTAATTTCAAACTGGTTGTCATTTTTATTTTATTTTTGAGTGAGGGAAAGTTCAGGGTTTTCCATTCCTTCCTGACTCATGAATGTTTCTCCTTCTCTTCATCATACGGTAAGTCCTCCTCCTCTTCCTCCTCTTCTCCTCCTCGGCCTCGGTTGGGAGAGATGTTACCGTGGCCAATGTCCAACACCTGAAGCTTGGACAGCTGAGAAAAAGACTCTTCGGATACCGAATGAACTGAGAGACGGTTAAATCTGAGGGATAAAGAGAATCAGAGAGGCGGAGAAATAGTTAATGCACTGAATACAAATTTTTTTTTTAATTGTCTTCCTCAGTATTTTTGTCTTGTTTTCCAGTACAAATATCTAAACATTCTTAAATCAGGATACATTTACTTGAGAGAAGCAAAATGAATTAAGATGTTATGTCTTGTTTCTTAAAAAAATCTATCAAAAATAAAAGTTTAACCATAAAACAAGTAAATAGGCCTTCCAATGGGCTCAGAATAGAAAATAAACTTTATTTTAGGGTGAACCTACTTTATTTGTCTGACCCCACTGGAAGGCCTATTTTCTTGTTTTAAAGGAGTAGTTCACTTTTAAAAAACTTTTGCTGATAATTTACTCACCCCCATGTCATCCAAGTTGCCCATGTCTTTCTTTCTTCAGTCGAAAAGAAATTAAGGTTTTTGATGAAAACATTCCAGGATTTTTCTCCATATAATGCACTTTACTGGGCACCAAACGGTCCAAGGTCCAAATGACAGTTTCAGTGCAAACTTCAAACTGTTCAAAGGGCTTTAAACGACACCAGACGATGAATAATGGTCTTATCAAGCGAAACGATCGGTCATTTAAAAAATAAATAACAAAGTTTAAGTTTTATAAGCTCAAATGCTCGCCTTGCTCTGTTCTGGGATGCACGTTCGTGACTCTCCTGTTCGAACTCGTTCATCAAAATGAACAAATCTTTTTTCGAGTCATTTTATTCATTTAACGACCGAAATGAACGAATTGACTCGGAAAAAGATTTGTTCATTTTGATGAACGAGTTCGAACAGGAGAGTCACACAGAACAGAGAAAGGCGAGCATGTGAGCTTATAAAACTTAAACGTTGTTTTTTTTTTTTAAATGATCGATCGTTTCGCTTGATAAGACCCTTATTCATCGTCTGGTGTCGTTTAAAGCCCTTTGAACAGTTTGCAGTTTGCACTGAAACTGTCTTTTGGACCTTGAACCATTTGGTGCCCAGTAAAGTGCATTATATGGAGAAAAATCCTGGAATGTTTTCATCAAAAACCTTAATTTCTTTTCGACTGAAGAAAGAAAGACATGGACATCTTGGATGACATGGGGGTGAGTAAATTATCAGCAAAAGTTTTTTTTAAAGTGAACTAATCCTTTAAGCTTAAACACTTCTTTTTGCTATATATTTTTAATATCCTAAAGGGGACCCATTATGCCCTTTTACAAAGTCTTGATTTTGTTGTTGGCCTCTACTAGAACAAGTTTTCATTCTTAAATGTTCAAAAACACATTATTTTTCACATTAAAAAAATAATGTAATAACGTAATAACGTAAAAATAAAATAAAAAAAAATGCTCTAGTACATAAGACCGACTCTTCGATTGAATCTGGAGAAAAGTGAGAAATATTCCTCAGATGCCATGTCCGTAATTTATAGCAAAACATCTGCCATTAATTTGATCTCAAACAGTTTCATTAAAAGCAGTTATTACTCCACCACATGCGTGACATCATTAACCAACGTGGTTGAACGACCAATTTGCGACTATACAGTTTCAGGAAACAGTCGTGACTATTGATTTCTTCAATGATGCATCGTACTATGGTAGTTAAGCAGCGAGTTACGTCGTTGTACGGGAAACACACCCCTGTTTAGTTCCTGTCTCTATGAAGCCCCTCCTTCTGAAAAGCTCAATGTGCTCTGATTGGTCGGCTGGACCGGTGTGTTGTGATTGGTCAAGAGCTTTGAGCGTGTTTGGGAAAATGTCCCGCCCCTTACCATAACCAGCAGTTTCAACACACTACTAACTAACTCAACCAGGCCCCGCCCCTTTATTCTGCGTATGAATTATTTAAATGAGAAATATTGTGACGTGTTCGTTCCTGGAAGAAAACTCAAGACTACAATGGAGGCGTTTCAGGGAGTTCAGAAACACTGACACTGATATAGAGAATAACTCCCGCTGGAACCATTTAGGTCAAGTTGTATGTTGCTTTAAGAAAGTTTAGATTTGTGCCGGAAAACAAGACAAAAAATACTGAGGAAGAACATAATTTTTAGTAGTGTGCAAAGGAAGAATCACATAAAAGTTGATTTTCGAACATGCCATCTCATTCCAGTTTAGATGCTGAGTGAATTCTCAGAAAAGACGAGTCGTTCAATCCTGGACTGCTGGATGCTCTCAAATCAAAGCAGGAATTCAGCGCTCCAGCCCATATTTTTAAACATAGGCCAGCTAAATTGCAAAAGAATTACACAGACATGGCTTGTAATGGCTCAGGCATGTCAACTTCCATCGGGTCCATGATGTCGTCCGCCTACGCACTTGAGACTGAGTGCTTTATTGATGCACATGAATCCATCATTTTCATTTTCTTCCCTGTTTTTTATTGATAGAAACTGCAGCAGAGAGCAGACATTGTGTACAAGAGACCTGAATCTGCCTCTCCCTCATGAGTATTGGGTTTGGAGAATCAACTCAATATATATATATATTGAACAATTGTCATGTTCACTTCCACTTCCGTTCGCTTCTTGAATGCTTCTGTTCTTCTGCCAACGTGAATGACCACTTTAATTTTTGGTGACATTTTACAGAAAATAACAGAACAATGTAGGTCTAGTGACATAAAGGTCTTTCTATTTGATTCCACCTAAACAGAGGAGCAGAAACATAACGACGTCCATAACCATACTTCTTTTAGCTTTTTAAAGTATTGTTACACCTATAATGTATTGATTGCAAAAAAATAATAATTATTAATTAAATTTTTTTTTTTTTTTACCACTGACTGACATGCTCTGGTTCGCCTCACACTTTGAAAACTGATTTAAGACATTTTTCCTTATATAGAAGAAACGTTTTGGTATAAAGCATTCATTACAATTAATTCGTTAATAAGCGTTAATAAGAATGATTGTGTTTTATATAGAACCCCATTGAACCTTTATTTCTAAGAGTGAATATAGTAGTCAACATTATAAAGTGCAACATGGGTAATTTCAAAAGATGAGCGTTTATTACATTTTTGCTTCAAAGTGCTTCCAAGTATAAATGATTATTTTTTATTAATAACATAATAATACTTCATAGTAAATATTTAGTTTCACTAAGGTACAAATTTAAAATTTGCTTTTCGTTATCATTTTTACACTTCAAAAAATGATTTTCTTTCTCAGTATATTTGTCTTGTTTTCCACAGTACAAATATCTAAACATTGTTAAATCAAGAAGGAACATCTCTTCTTCTTTTGTATTAAACCCGAGTCAGCATATTTTCATGTTGCACCATCATCCCATCATCATCATCACATCCCAGCACCTAAACTAGTCCAAATCCCAGTGCTTCTCATATTTCTGAAACCAATAATCAGGTCAAGATGGGAAAACTATTTTGAGAAATGTTCTTAAAATGCATGTCATTCGTTCCACGTGTTCCCCGACTCAGATTACATTCTGAACGCTTGTTATGATACTGTATGATTTTATGGGAAATGTTCACGCCTCGCATTATGTGGGAGTTATTACAGCTGTGAGAGCTTTGAAACAAGTTCATTATAGCAGAGCAGATCCAACAGACCACAAAAATGAATCGCAGAGTTTCAGAAAAAGAAAGATCTGGGGCCGTATTCACAAAGAATTTTAAGGCTAAAAGTAGCTCCTAACTGGCGAATTTAGGAGCAACTCCTAAAAATAATGGGCGTGTCACTCCTAACTTTAGGACTCCTAATTTTTTTCACTAAGAGTAATTCACGAAGCATTTTAGCCCTAAAAGTAGCACCTAAGTCTGGGACAGCTTAAAAGAAGTCGAGAGGACTCCTAACTCACTAAGACCCATTCACAAAGGATTGTAGCGCACACCAGCGCCTCTCGCAGTCGTCCGGGGTCCGCGACACAAGCGGGAATGCTGCATTGATCTGCAAACAAATCCTCTCCCATTCCCACGCTTAGTTTTGCTTGATATCCCAGTGCCGAATTTCACTTTTATCATTATTACTTTTTTTCAGCACCAAGCCACCAACTGGGCCAGCAGCAGTAACTGATCCTGCGTCCAGTTGGGCTTTCTTTTAAGTTTTGGCGAGTTCATAATCCACCGTAAATCAACTATTACATTACTTCAATAGGAGTAACATTTCCTTGCTTTAAGTAGTCTATTTAGGCTAATAGGATGTCAATTAACCAAGCAAGTGTTAATGCAAGTGTTGTTTTTTCATTATTAGGCAAGTGACGATTTTCATTAGGGTATTACCTTGATTAAATTGAATTCACGACTTTTCTCTCTCTCTCTCTCTGTCTTTTTAGAATTACACTTCACTGGGGCCTGCACAAACATGTCATTATATATGCATTTCGATGACATTACTATTATTATTTTGTGTAGGACACAGACATATTTAGATGTCGTAATTCCATGATTTGTTGCGTCTGTGTTATGCTCCGCATGATGGCACTGTCATCTAACAACCAATCACCGTGATCATTACGAGGAAGTTCGTGCATGAGAATTGACGTCATCCATAGCAACGAAGACTCACTCTTAGTTTAGGAGTTGTCATTTTTCTTTACTAAGAGTAGGTCTGAAAGACGTTGTGAATAACTTTTAAGAGAAAACTCCTAGCTAAAATATTTTAGTGCGATTTAGGAGTACTCCTAGTGGTAAGACACAATTCTTTGTGAATACGGCCCCTGATCCCAAATGATTAGATGTGTTTGCATGTATAAACAAAACACATTAGCTCATTATAAAAGCCAACAATGCAAACAAGCCACGTTTACATGAGGTTTTGAAGTCATCTGGGTTTGTTTGAACATGAACAGACATGCAAAAACAGGATAACAAAAATACATGTGCCGATCCGGTTTTGCCAAAACAGTTTATGACATTTAAAGGGGTCATATACATGCACTTTTACAAGTTGATTGTACTGAAATGTGTGTTGGCAGTGCCTGTACACAACCATCATAAAATGATAAAAATCCATCCAGTGTTTTTGTTTTAATCTCCTTATATGTTTTCCCCTGCCTCAAATCAAGCCGTTCGACCGTGTGACGTCACACGCTCGGAAGCCCCTCCCACGATTGTTGATTGACAGCAGCGTTTCAACACATTCCCGCCCTGAGCGAGCTGTCATCATAGTCCGCCATTGTCGATACGCTGGAGCAGAATGGCGTCTAAGCGATTGTGGTGTTCTGTTCTTGGGTGTAATAACGAACACTAAATCCGAACCGCTGAAGACGCAGTGGCTGAGTTTGTTTTCGAAGGGAATATTCCCCACGAGCAACGTCAATGCTTTCATGTTTGCGTAAATCATTTCTCACCAGACTGCTTTATAAACGAGGGTCAGTATAAAGCTGGTTTTGCTAAGAAGCTGCTCCTGAATAAAGGATCGGTACCAAATATTCGTGTTCCTGCTGAACCTCCAGAAGAAGTGAGTGTAAAATTTTATTAACCTTTATATTAACGTTAATCTTTGCAAATCGCTTGCACGCTTCACGATGAATGAGTCTAAGGTTTACACTCAGGGTACATTACGGCATGTTTTCTGTACGACGTTCTCAATATAATTCATAATTCCACGTTTATAATGAACAACGCGTTATGGTTATTGTGTTATTACAAACTGAGTACGTATAACGTTACATCAATAAACACATAGCGTTCGTACATCTCACAAAGTTACTCTAACGTTACCCTGCCAGTGCATACAAAGATAGATCAAAGTAACATAACGTTAACCAACCATTCAGAAGCGTCCTGTTCGAGCCTTAATTGTCGAACTTCTTTGCGGCCGTCATCTTGTTCCGGGCGCGAGTCCGGTTCAAACTGATACGGTTGCACAGATGTGTCCTCAGAGACTCCCGCTGCCATTCTTTCTCCAAAATATACCCTCAACTGTTGTCAAGGCAACACTCCACGTGCGTTGTGTCAAAACGCCCCACAGAACAGAGGGGCGGAGTCAGCGAAGCTCATTATCATTTAAAGGCACATGCACTGAAACGGCATGCTGAAAACAGAGCTGTTTTTGACCAGGTAAAATGAGTGTTTTCTTACAATACTAATGAGAATTTTTAATTAAAGTATATTACAAACTTTTCATTTAGACCCTAAAGAATCAAATTAACTTGTATGAAAATGGCATTATATGACCCCTTTAACTGATTAAACAACACCATTTAAGACCTTTATATGACATGTTTTTGTTATTAACTGCTCATTTATACTTATAGAAGACATGTATTCCATAATGATTAGAAAGTGCAGAAAGTTTATCCAGCAATGATGCATCAAATTGATCAAAAGACAATCAAGATATTTACAATATTACAAAATATTTCTATTTAAAAATAAATGCTGTTCTTTTGGACTTTCTATTCATCAAAGAATCCTGAAAAATTGTATCAATGTTGAAAACTGAAACTGTGATACAATATTCCAGGATTCTTTGATTAATAGAAAGTCCAAAAGAACAGCATTTATTTGACATTTTTTAATCAGAAATGTTTCTCAAGCATCAAATCATCATATTCGAATGATTTCTGAAGGATCATGTGACTCTGAAGACTGGAGTAATGATGCTGAAAATTCAGCTTTGATCACAGGAATAAATTACATTTGAAAGTATATCCAAATAGAAACCAGTTATTTTAATTTGCAATAATATTTCACAATTTTACTGCATTTTTGATCAATTAAATGCAGCCTTGGTTCATGTAAGAGATTTCTTTCAAAATATGATTTGGACTGAACGATCTTCTAGTGGGACGCAGGCCTCGCTACGAGTGAAAGGACAAACACTCCTCATAATCATGAGTGGAAGAGAGAAAGAGCAGAGTCACCTGAGGAAGATCCCTTTAATGTTGGGTGTGTTGAGGAAGGCTGAGGCGGACACCGAGCTGATCCTGTTGTTCTGCAGGTGGAGGAACTCAAGAGACTCGGGAAGGTCAGGAGGAACGTGAGACAACATGTTAGCGGAGAGATCCAGCGTCTGAAACACACATAAAACATGCTCAAGCGTCCTCTTTCTCCATATATCACACATTAAAGGCCAAACCCCAAACCTTGACATGTGAAATTGGACTTTATGGTTCAGGAAACAGATCAGATGAATCTTTCCTTGGCTAGAAAAAGCACTTGCATGCAATGAAAGGTTATCTCATCCTTCCTTCATGTAAGAGTCTGCTTTTCTTATCCAGCTGAAAGGAGGAAAACAAGCTCTCTCTGAGATTACTTCTCCACAGGAATAATAAAAATAAATAAAGTAACAGAATATAAAGTAAAATGAAATGAAATAAAATAAATAACTAATAAAATGCATTTTCCTGAGGTCATCAGTTGAATTTGTTCTTTATATATCATTGTTATAAATAACAACGAAATAACATCAGAGAATCCTACAATATAAGTGCAATAAAAAGTCCATAAAGTGCAATCCGTTATATCTTACACCATTTGGCTCACCAACTTAGTACCATTGTTTATATGGACAATCAATGTCCACATAATGGACTGCATTTATATAGCGCTTTCACAGACCCAATGGCCACCAAAGCGCTTTACATTTTGCCTCACATTCACCCGTTCACTCTCTCATTCATACACCGACGGCGGTGTCAGCCATGCAAGGCGCCATCCAGCTCGTCGGGAGCAGCTGGGGTTAGGTGTCTTGCTCATGGACACCTCGACACTTGGGGATTGAACCACCAACCTTCTGGTTTGTAGACAACCTACATGAACCACTGAGCCACTGCCGCCCCATAATACATAATACACATATACAACGGATTGTGAGATGTAGTATAAATACTAAAGCAATGCATACACACGATTCTTTCTTAAAGGGGTCCTATTATACTTTTTTATAAGTTCAACTGTCTTTACTGTGTAATGTTACATACAGTCCCTCCAGCATTAGTTATTCTCTATATCAGTGTCAGTGTTTCTGAACTCCCTGAAACGCCTCCATTGAGTTTCTTCCAGGAACGAACACGTCACAATATTCCTCATTTAAATAATTAATATGCAGAATAAAGGGGCGGATCCTGGTTAAGTTAGTTAGTAGTGTGTTGAAACTGGAGGTTATGGAAAGGGGCGGGACATTTCCCAAACACACTCGAAGCGCTTGACCAATCACAACACACTGCTCCAGCCGACCAATCAGAGCACAGTGTGCTTTTCAGAAGGAGGGGCTTCATAGAGACAGAGCGTTACTGACAGACTGGGAAGAGAGGAGCTGCAACAATGGAGAATATGGGAAAAAAATAATGTGTTTTTGAACATTCAAGCATGAAAACTTGTTCTAGTAGAGGCCAAAAACAAAATATCGCTGTACCCGCCTCAGTTCAAGTGGCATCACATGAACCGATCAGCTCATCTCCTCTTTACTATAAATAAACACAGGTGAACATCAGAAGGTCACAAGTCATGCAGATTTTAAACATCATTTGGGTGGTGGGATTATGACTTTCACATATCTGCTCCATCATTTTTAGTTGTGTAACTTCAAAATCAGGACAACCAGCTAAAGCTCTCTCTCTCTCTCTCTCTCTCTCTCTTGCTATTGTGGTGACAAACAAAATTATTTCACTGAATAAGAGACAAACATATACCAATTGTCTTTGACTTGGTTTATTTTCTTGCAAGCAAAGGCCAGCAGTCGTACAGTCACACAGAGTGTCTGCAGAATGGGACAGTGAAGGGAGGGCATCCTTCCTCCTGTATAGTTTTGACTCCCCGAATGTTATCTCCCTTAGGCCAATGGAAATATTTTTAACCATGCATGGATCATTGTTTAGACTTTGTTCATCATATTCTATCCTTGAGCGGAGGCCCCTCAGTCACGCACATATAATGGTCACACATTTCTCATTTCCAGCCATGTATATAATGGTCATATACATTCATAAGACCAATAACTGGTCTTTGTTTTATCAAATCAGTCCTCATGCAAATAATCTTATTATCAAAGTACTGCCTTTCTAAGCAATTCCATTTATAAAGGAAAATCAAACATATGGAAAATGCAAACATAGTACATACAGTAACATATTAACGCTATCTCTCACCGTGAGTGCGCTCAGCTCCTGCCACGCTCCCTGGTAGATGGAGTTGAGCTTCAGTTGGTTGTTGGCCAGGTAGATCTCCCTCAGCGAGCTCATTCCCAGCAGAGCTCCTTCTGGCACCTCAGTCATCTGGTTGTCCTTCACCTTCAGAATCCGGAGGCTCTTGGGAAGCCCCAACGGCAGCGCCTGGAGCTTGTTTCCCGACAGATCCAGCGTCTCCAGGATCCTGAGCTTCCTGAAGGCCTCTCTGTGGAGCTTGGCACTGGTGAGGCGGTTGTAACTGAGGTTGAGCTCGGTGAGTGTGTAAAGCGTGATCAGATCGTTGCGTCCGATCTCGCTGATGTGGTTGTGGAGAAGCATGAGGGTTTTTGCGCGGCGAGGAAGGCCGCGGGGAACTCGCTCGAGGAGGTTGTTGTACATGTGGACGGTGTGGAGACGTTTGAGGCCCTGGAAGGCGGACGGATGAATGGAGCGAGAGCGGAGGTGGTTGTTGTGGAGGAGCAGGTACTCCAAGTTTCGGATGGGCGTCAGAGCGTTGACTGCGATGCTCTGGATGTAATTCTTCTCCAGGTGAAGCAGGACGATATTGCGGGGCAGCCCGAGAGGAACCATGGTCAAGTTGTTATTGGACAAATCCAGATATTCCATACTGTTCAAGTGACTGATGAGAGAAGGCAGGATATTTTCCATCAGTTACAGCTCAGGGTAGAGTTTTTACAAGATGAAGAAGAAGAGAGCCGTGCAGAAGAAAGAGTGGGAGGTAAATTATGTTTTTTCTTGCTTTATTCAGTCATGCTGACCTGAAGGTCTCGTTGTCCACGCCATCATTACTCAAGAAGTTGTTTTGCAGGTAAAGTTCTCGAAGATGAGACAGATTATCGAATGCACCTGCGGGAATCTTCTCCAGCTTGTTGTTCTGCATGGAAACAAGACAAAAAATTATATAAACAATGGATATTTTTGATTCAGAGATGTGCACTGAGGCAATTATGCCATTATGTATCTTAGTGATGTGGACTGAAAGTGGTTCAGAACAACCTGAGTGCGAGTAAACACTCGATTGCTGAACACTTGTTTTTTTGTAAAGTCTTCATTTAATGAGCTACGCGGTGGTCTTACCTTCAGGTGTAGGCGGTAGAGGGCGGTGGGCAGACTTTTAGGGACATAACGAAGGAAATTACTGGACATAATGAGGATCTCGAGGTTGTCTGATCCATTAAACATGTTCTCTGGCAGTCCGGCATCCGTTAGCTTGTTGTTATGGAGATAAACTGACCTGAAGCACAGCACACAGACCGTTAACACTCAAAAAGCAACACATAATGCAAGTGAAAAGAGCATTTTGGGCTTACTTCAGAGCAGGCTTCAGGCCAAATGTGTCGGGGTAGATTTTAGTGAGCTGGTTTGCAGCGAAGTCAGCGCTGACCAAAGAGGGAGGGAGGTGTCTGGGAGCTGCTGTGAGCTGTGAACACGTTTAAAGCATCACGTCAAAACAAGTCGGTCCTTTCGGCAAAATGAACACTGACACAGACACGAAGCGGAACGGGCTAGTTAGCAAATAAATAAAAGATTAATGGACACAAGAATGATTTGAGTTGAAAAAATGTATTATGTTAGAAGAAAGAGCATAAAGTGATACTAGAGACATCAATGATGCATTTATTTTATCAAAAATGACGTAAAATTGTGAAATATTATTACAATTTAAATTAACCATTTTCTATGTTACAATATGTTCAAATGTAATTTATTCCTGTGATCAAACCTGAATTTTCTGCATCAGTCTTCAGTGTCAAATGATCCTTCAGAAATCACTCTAATATGCTGATCTGATGCTTAAGAAAAATTTCTGATTATTCCCAATATTAAAAACAGTTGTGCTGGTATATATTTTTGTGGAAACCATGTGACATCATTTTTTTTCTTCAGGATTCTATCATGAATAAAAAGTTCAAAAGAACAGCGTTTATTTAAAATAGAAATCTTTTGTAACATTATAAATGTCTTTATGGTCAATTTTGATCAATTTAATGCATCCTCGCTTAATTAAATTATTAATTATTTTTAATCATATTGATCCAAAACTTAGGCAATATGTAAATTACACAAAGAGAAATCAATATTTAAAGATATTTGACTGCAGAATGCAGATGTTGACCAATCAGATTCAATTCAAGTCTTCTAGTGATGTTGCGAATCACCAGTCTCAGAATGATCCATTTGCAGCGTAAGTTTATTGAGAGAATAGTCAAACAGGCAGAGGTCAAAGACAGCAAACTCAGCATCAGAGGCAAGGCTTAATCGGGGTCTAATTCCAGGCAGAAGATCAGAACAGGCAGCAAACAGGCAAGGACCATGAACCAGGCAGAGGTAGCGTAGGCAGGCAGCAGGCTAGGAGAAATCAGAGACAGAAGGGGTCGAGAAACAGTCAGACAATCACTGGATAAAACGCTCAGTAGTGTTCACAAAGGCAAAACAAAACTTCGCACTGAAAGCTGCTTGTGGTGCGGTTAAATAGCCTGGTAGATAGGCTGCAGCTGGGCATGGTGATTGGAGTCATTAGGGAGGCTTATGGGGAATGTAGTGCAAGTGAAGATCAGTATTCGGGCGAGGGTGCTCTCTGCTGGCCAGAGACAGAGGTTACTGAGTTTGGGATCGTGACAGAGCCCCCTCCCTGTGAGCGACTCCTGGCGCGAGGAACCTGACGACGTCGGGGTCTTCCACGTGGTCGTGGGGCCGGCCTGGTGGGATAAGCCAGGTGGAAGTCAGTAATCAGGCTGGGATCCAGGATGTCAGAAGCGTCCACCCAAGAACGTTCCTCAGGGCCGTATCCCTCCCAATGAACTAGGTACTGCAGGGAACTTCCCCGACGTCTGGAGTCCACAAGCTCCTTAACCTGATAGGCCTCCTCACCTTCCACTAGAATGGGCTGGGGAGTCTGGTCCTGGGATCTCTCCTCCCTCTCATTGGGACCATCGGCAGGTTTGAGAAGAGAGACATGGAAAGTGGGAGCGAGTCGGTACTGGTTAGGTAGATCTAGACGGAAAGAGACGGGGGTGATCTGATGTGTGATTTTGAACGGACCCACGAACCTGGGACTGAGCTTTTTACAGGGGAGTCGGAGGCGTAGGTCTCGGGTCGACAGCCAGACCCACTGGCCCGGGTGATACTCAGGCCCCGGCCGACGCCGGCGGTCAGCCTGTTCCCTCTGCCGGCGAACCGCTCGTTGGAGGTGGGTGTGGGCCAGGTTCCAGGTTTCCTCGCTGCGCTGAAGCCAGTCGTTCACTGCAGGGACATTTGTGGGTTCACCTGACCACGGGAAGAGAGGCGGTTGAAAGCCCAGGACGCATTGAAAGGGGGTCAGGCCAGTAGAGTGTTTGCGGATGGAATTCTGGGCGTATTCGGCCCAGATCAGGTAACGACTCCAATCCTGTTGGTGCTGATGGCAATAAGAGCGCAGAAAACGGGTCACCTCTTGGTTCATGCGCTCGGCCTGTCCGTTGGATTGCGGATGATACCCTGACGTAAGACTGATATTGACTTGAAGGGTCTTGAAAAAGGCTGACCAGACCTGAGAAGTGAACTGGGGGCCTCGATCGGAAACAATGTCTTCGGGCAAGCCATAAAACCTGAACACCTGGTTGCAGAGGTGTTCGGCGGTCTGCAGTGCTGTAGGGAGTTTTGCGAGGGGAATTAGACGGCAGGCCTTGGAAAAGCGGTCGATAACAGTGAGGATGGTGGTGTATCCTTCAGAAACTGGGAGATCGGTAATGAAATCGATGGCAATGTGCGACCAAGGACGTTGTGGAACTGTAAGAGGGTGTAATAGACCGGCAGGTAGTTGACGTGACGACTTCTGAGTGTTGCAGACCCGGCAGTGTTGCACATGGGTTGTGGTGTCTGAGGCTAAAGAGGGCCACCAATAATGGTTCTGGAGTAGCTGGATGGTGGTGGTGATACCTGGATGCCCCGAGCTTGGATGGGCATGAACGAGTTCTAGGACCTGGCTCCGGAGAGTCTCGGGGACAAAGACTCGGTCAGGTGGGCAGCCGGGTGGGACATCTGCGCGGGAATTGATCTGTTCGATTTCTGTGTCGATGTCCCACTGAATGGGGGCGACAACGAGGTTGGGAGCCAGTACTGTTTTGGGGTCTTGTGGTGAGAGCTCGGAGTCACCTTGGCGTGACAGGGCGTCTGCCTTTGTATTCTTAGACCCTGGTCGATAAGTGACAGTGAAGTGGAACCGGGTGAAAAATAGCGACCAACGAGCCTGCCTGGGGTTTAGCCTCTTTGCGGCACGTAGATACTCCAGGTTCTTATGGTCGGTGAATACGACGAAAGGATGGAGAGTGCCCTCGAGCCAATGCCGCCACTCCTCGAAAGCGGCCTTCATGGCCAGCAGCTCCCGATCACCCACATCATAATTTCTCTCGGCAGTGTTCAGCTTACGGGAGTAGTATGCACAAGGGTACAGCTTGGGGGGCGAACCTTGACGTTGTGAGAGGATGGCCCCCAGAGCAGTGTTCGAGGCGTCCACCTCAACTATGAACGGTAGTCCGGGGTCAGGATGGTGCAAGATGGGCGCTGTGGTGAAACATTGTTTGAGCAAGTTAAAAGCCTGGGTGGCTGAGTTATTCCACGGAAGACGATGTGTTCCTTTCTTTACCAGAGAAGTGAGAGGATTGGCCACGGCACTGAAGTTCCTTATGAACCGTCGATAAAAGTTAGCAAATCCAAGGAAGCGCTGCAGCTCCTTCAGGGTTGTGGGTCGTGGCCAATCACGGACTGCTCTGACCTTACCCTCGTCCATAGCAACTCCGTCTGGGCTGATGACATACCCCAAGAACGAAATGGAGGTCTGGTGGAATTCACACTTCTCCAGCTTGGCGTATAGATGGTGGTGAATGAGTCTCTGGAGGACGGCCCGAACGTGCTGCACATGGTCCGAGAGGGTGTCGGAGTAAATCAAGATGTCATCGATGTACACAACGACGGTACGGTGGAGCATGTCTCTGAAGATGTTATTGATAAAAGACTGGAAGACGGAAGGACTGTTCGCCAGGCCGAACGGCATGACCAGGTACTCATAGTGCCCCGTGTTGGTGGAGAAGGCCGTCTTCCACTCGTCCCCCTCCCTAATGCGGATAAGATTGTAAGCACAGCGTAGATCGAGCTTGGTGAAGTGCTTGGCAGTACGAAGTAACTCCAAGGCGGCAGGTACCAGTGGGAGCGGATAGCGAAACTTTATGGTGATGTCATTCAGGGCACGGTAATCGATGCAGGGTCGGAGACCTCCGTCCTTCTTCTGGACGAAGAAGAACCCAGCGGATGCAGGGGACGTTGAAGGGCGAATGAAGCCCTTCGCAAGCTCTTCCTCAATGTATTTCCTCATCGCTTCGGATTCTGGCTGAGAAAGAGGAAAGATACGGCCCTTGGGAGGTACAGAACCGGGTAGCAGGTCGATGGCACAGTCGTTGTCGCGATGAGGTGGGAGCTGAGAGGCTCCTGCTTTGCTAAAGGCCTCGGCCAGATCATGGTATTCAGAGGGAAGACCGTTCAGGTCAGCCCTCTCTACGGGCACGGAGATGACCTGGATGGAGGACGGGGCAACGGGAGCGAGGCACTTGGAGTGACAGGATGCGTCCCAGCGGGTAATCTGGTTAGTTCTCCAGTGGATTTGGGGATTGTGTTTGCGGAGCCATGGCAGGCCAAGGATTACTGGAGTGCGTGGACCATGGAAAACATAGAATTGGATTACCTCAGAGTGGAGCGCCCCTGTCTGCAGCTGGAGTTCATGGGTGAGGTGAGAGATTTGACCAGAGCCTAATGGCCTTCCGTCGATGGCTTCGACTGCGAGGGAGGAAACACAACGGATTAGAGGAATGTTGTGTAGACGGGCAAAGTCTGTTGAAACAAAATTCCCAGCGGCCCCAGAGTCTACCAGAGCTCTGGTGAGTATCCGCTTGCCGTTCGTCGTTATGACAACAGGCACGAACACAGACGTGGTGAGGTATGGTGCTTCAAGGTCTGGACTCACCGGACGAGGGGCGGTTGAGCGAGGTCTGGATGGGCAGGAGATGCGCAGATGGCCAGCCTCGCCACAGTACAAACACAGGTGGAGTCGCAGCCGTCGGTCTCTTTCCTCCGTGGGCAGATGGTAGGCGTTGATTTGCATGGGTTCAGGTTCGTCGGAGCGATCGGAAGTCGTGGTCCGAGTAGCCTGGACAGCGTGGAAAGCAGGGGTGGCACGGTGACTGGCTCGGCGAGATCTCATGAGGTTGTCTATTTGGATTGTGAGGTTGATGAACTGGTCGAGGTCCCTGCCCTCGTCACGACAGGCTAATTCTGACTGTAGATCGTGGTTCAGGCCTCTTCGGAAGATGGTCTTGAGCGTGTCATTGTTCCAGGAAGTCTGTGCAGCCAGGGTGCGATGCGTGAGAGCATACTCGGCAGCGGTAGATCTTCCCTGCGTGAGCTCCAACAAGCGATCGCCGGCGCTCTTTCCCTCTCTGGAATGCTCAAAGACCTCCCTGAAGCGTTGGAGAAACACCGAGAAGGATGGGAAAGCAGAACCATCTGGTCTCCATACAGCCGTTATCCATTCCAAAGCTCTCCCCGTCAATAAAGAACACACAAATGCAATCCTCCCCGCGTCAGTTGAATACAGAGCCGACTGTTGCTCAATGTACAGAGAACACTGGAGGATAAAACCTTTGCATCTGTCTGGATTCCCATCGAACTTCTCCGGAAGTGCAAGACGAGGAGTCGCAGTGGGCGGGACTGGAGCAGGGCTGACAACAGCGGCGATGGCAGGTGGAGATGGCGGCTCCGATGACGCAGCTTGGAGACCTCGAACAACTTTGACCAGTTCGTCCATCAGCGAGGTGAGGTGACTCAGCTGATGATGGTGGGCAACGATCTGATCAGCTTGGGCTGAATAGGCGGCAGACAAACTTGACATAGCTGCTGGATCGGGTTGCGGCGAAGTTTTCTGTTGCGAATCACCAGTCTCAGAATGATCCATTTGCAGCGTAAGTTTATTGAGAGAATAGTCAAACAGGCAGAGGTCAAAGACAGCAAACTCAGCATCAGAGGCAAGGCTTAATCGGGGTCTAATTCCAGGCAGAAGATCAGAACAGGCAGCAAACAGGCAAGGACCATGAACCAGGCAGAGGTAGCGTAGGCAGGCAGCAGGCTAGGAGAAATCAGAGACAGAAGGGGTCGAGAAACAGTCAGACAATCACTGGATAAAACGCTCAGTAGTGTTCACAAAGGCAAAACAAAACTTCGCACTGAAAGCTGCTTGTGGTGCGGTTAAATAGCCTGGTAGATAGGCTGCAGCTGGGCATGGTGATTGGAGTCATTAGGGAGGCTTATGGGGAATGTAGTGCAAGTGAAGATCAGTATTCGGGCGAGGGTGCTCTCTGCTGGCCAGAGACAGAGGTTACTGAGTTTGGGATCGTGACAAGTGAGCCATATATATATATATATATATATATATATATATATATATATATATATATATATATATATATATATAATGTACATGTTAAAAAAGAAAGAAAGAAAAGAAACTGCCTGGTCGTATATTATATCAATATCTAGGTCATAATATAGTGATTTTAATACAAAACTTCATCTTCATTGGTATTTCTTCCACAAAAATATTAAAATCATATCACAAAAAAAATATTGATTCTTAGGATGTCAATACAGCATGGTGGTGACGTTAAATATTGCAATACGTTGAAATATACATTTCCCATTCTCCAGTAACCAGAATCGTACCCATGGATCGCAAAGAAAAAGCACACATAACAATACACTGATCTCCATTGACGCCAGCTGCGATTCAACTCTAACATGCTCAAGGAGAAATACTTTATGCTCAATGAAAAAGCACAGTTATGTGCTAAAGGAAGTCACGGACCATGAGCCGCTAAAAGAGCTGAAGTGTGAGTCTAAGCAAGGCCTCCAGCATGTGAACGGAGATTGTTGGTGTTATACGGCCATTAAAAATAGGCAATGAGCTTTAATGATGTGTTTCATTATTTTATCAAATTCATTATCATATCCAGATTTAATTTATGCGCATAGTACTTTGACTTCACAGGCTTTTCAGAGATCTGAGACCCAAAACTGGACCTCTGAATGGGAATGGGCCGACTGATTCAAGCTGATAGAAGAGCAACTTTGACTGAAATAACCACTCGTTACAACCGAGGTATGCAGCAATTTGTGAAGCCACAACACGCACAACCTTGAGGCGGATGGGCTACAACAGCAGAAGACCCCACCGGGTACCACTCATCTCCACTACAAATAGGAAAAAGAGGCTACAATTTGCAAGAGCTCACCAAAATTGGACAGTTGAAGACTGGAAAAATGTTGCCTGGTCTGATGAGTCTCGATTTCTGTTGAGACATTCAGATGGTAGAGTCAGAATTTGCCGTAAACAGATTGAGAACATGGATCCATCATGCCTTGTTACCACTGTGCAGGCTGGTGGTGGTGGTGTAATGGTGTGGGGGATGTTTTTTTTGGCACACTTTAGGCGCCTTAGTGCCAATTGGGCATCGTTTAAATGCCACGGCCTACCTGAGCATTGTTTCTGACCATGTCCATCCCTTTATGGCCACCATGTACCCATCCTCTGATGGCTACTTCCAGCAGGATAATGCACCATGTCACACAGCTCGAATAATTTCAAATTGGTTTCTTGAACATGACAATGAGTTCACTGTACTAAAATGGCCCCACAGTCACCAGATCTCAACCCAATAGAGCATCTTTGGGATGTGGTGGAACGGGAGCTTCGTGCCCTGGATGTGCATCCCACAAATCTCCATCAACTGCAAGATGCTATCCTATCAATATGGGCCAACATTTCTAAAGAATGCTTTCAATGCTTTCTGTTTTTAAGCCACAAAGCTCTGCCAAACTCACTGATTATCTGTTCTTCACAATCACTCAAAACACTGACTCAGTACCGCAAGAATGCATGTAACAGATCCAATGGGACCAACAGAAAACATTCACATCGCCGCGTATGTTTCTAGCATTTGCTTTGGCTTTTATCGGTGCGTCTTTGTCTGTCTTTTCTAGCGCGCCCGTGAGATTACACTAAAATCTCAGTAGGATCTCTTTCTCTTCCTGTTATCCTTTTTTAAGTCCATCAGCTACAAATCTGTCCAGCACCCGCTCTGGAGGTCGTCGGGACCGCTTTAGCTCCCACAGCTGGGTGATTAACAGGGAAAGCTGGCACGGGACGTCCAGAAAGCACGCTGTTACCAGCTGGCAGAAGAACAATCCACTGACGGAGCGAGGGATTGTGGGAGCTAAACAGCAGTGACCAAACTGGCTCCCGATAACACGAAAACAGACTGCTTCATGACCAACATAAACATCCAACTCCAGTTCCCACCAGCCAGCGTTAAACAAAAGGCTTGGAAAACAAACGTTAAAACTCAAAAGTGAGTCACTCTCAGGGGCCGTGATTGAAAACCCTGGCCTTTAAACGAAACTCGGTCTGGTTTTTTGTCGAAACATGACTAACTCTGCTTTTCTATGGAGATTGTTATGAAAGGCACGGGCACTTGCCAACAAAAATGTTGCAATTACAATCACGCCACAGCAAATCTGATTACATGATAAACAGTGCAAAACAGAAACACAGGTTTGGTTTTTAGCACAACATGCTAAAACCTTGAGAATAAAGTGCGTAACGTGACTTGCAAATGTGCTCCAGATGTGAGACCTCAAATCATAAATGATCAGACACACAGTTTTCACCTGCTGGACCATAAAAGAGGTGCAACCACAGATATGTGTAATATTTTAGCAACCACAAAGACAATACTCTGGCAAATACTCTAGCCTTGTGACAAAGACAAAATTAGTAGATAAAAAAGTGAAATTTGGGCGTGTGAGTTTATTTCTTCTGTTGATCAGAGAGAGCGAGAGAGAGCGAGAGAGAGCGAGAGAGAGCGAGAGAGAGCGAGAGAGCGAGAGAGATGAGAGAGAGAGATGAGAGAGAGAGAAAGAGAATGAACATTGATGACTCACCTTATTATTTGCCAAGTATAAATAACTCAGCTTTTCCAGAGTATGAAAACCTTCCTCGTCAAGGCCTGCACACACACACACACACACATACACACACACACACACGTTATTCTCGACATGTAACAAATACCTTCATTTCATGTTTCATTTCTTTAATTATGTTTGTATGCATATATACATATATTTATATATATATATATATATATATATATATACACTCACCTAAAGGATTATTAGGAACACCATACTAATACTGTGTTTGACCCCCTTTCGCCTTCAGAACTGCCTTAATTCTACGTGGCATTGATTCAACAAGGTGCTGAAAGCATTCTTTAGAAATGTTGGCCCATTTGATAGGATAGCATCTTGCAGTTGATGGAGATTTGTGGGATGCACATCCAGGGCACGAAGCTCCTGTTCCACCACATCCCAAAGATGCTCTATTGGGTTGAGATCTGGTGACTGTGGGGGCCATTTTAGTACAGTGTTTAGTACAGTGTTAGAACATTGTCATGTTCAAGAAACCAATTTGAAATGATTCGAGCTTTGTGACATGGTGCATTATCCTGCTGGAAGTAGCCATCAGAGGATGGGTACATGGTGGCCATAAAGGGATGGACATGGTCAGAAACAATGCTCAGGTAGGCCGTGGCATTTAAACGATGCCCAATTGGCACTAAGGGGCCTAAAGTGTGCCAAGAAAACATCCCCCACACCATTACACCACCACCACCAGCCTGCACAGTGGTAACAAGGCATGATGGATCCATGTTCTCATTCTGTTTACGCCAAATTCTGACTCTACCATCTGAATGTCTCAACAGAAATCGAGACTCATCAGACCAGGCAACATTTTTCCAGTCTTCAACTGTCCAATTTTGGTGAGCTCTTGCAAATTGTAGCCTCTTTTTCCTATTTGTAGTGGAGATGAGTGGTACCCGGTGGAGTCTTCTGCTGTTGTAGCCCATCCGCCTCAAGGTTGTACGTGTTGTGGCTTCACAAATGCTTTGCTGCATACCTCGGTTGTAACGAGTGGTTATTTCAGTCAAAGTTGCTCTTCTATCAGCTTGAATCAGTCGGCCCATTCTCCTCTGACCTCTAGCATCAACAAGGCATTTTCGCACACAGGACTGCCGCATACTGGATGTTTTTCCCTTTTCACACCATTCTTTGTAAACCCTAGAAATGGTTGTGCGTGAAAATCCCAGTAACGGAGCAGATTGTGAAATACTCAGACCGGCCCGTCTGGCACCAACAACCATGCCACGCTCAAAATTGCTTAAATCACCTTTCTTTCCCATTCTGACATTCAGTTTGGAGTTCAGGAGATTGTCTTGACCAGGACCACACCCCTAAATGCATTGAAGCAACTGCCATGTGATTGGTTGATTAGATAATTGCATTAATGAGAAATTGAACAGGTGTTCCTAATAATCCTTTAGGTGAGTGTATATATACACACATACATACACAATCTATTGTTACATTTTTTAATGTTAAGTTAAATGTTTAATGTTTTTAATATTAAGATCTAAGAAGTCTTTTCTGCTCACCAAGGCTGCATTTATTTGATCCAAAAATCTGGAGAAAAAAAATCTGAAAAAAATCTGTTTTCTTTGTGCATATATTGTAAAATGTAATTTATTCCTGTGATCAAAGCTGAATTTTCAGCATCAGTGTCACATGATCCTTCAGAAATCATTATAATATGATGATTTGATGCTAAAGAAACATTTCTTGCTATTATCGATGTTGAAAACAGTTTCATATTTCTGTGCAAACCATTATACATTCTTTTTTTTCAAGATTATTTGATGAACAGAAAGTATACAAAAGGTATAGCATTTACTTAAAATAGAAAACATTTGTGACAATACGGTATTAGTCGTTCCAAACCCACGAGAAATTCTGAACTATGAAAAATGGTGTTTGACATCAATGAGACCTTGAACAAACTCAGCCTGTTATTCACACAGAGCAATCATATATGGCTTCAAAATACTTTGAATTTAACGCACAAGTCATATTGGCAACGTCTGTGGTGCTTTTTAGCTCAAATGCTTATATGGAACAGCATGTGTGTTTGAACAACTTGAGGGCAAGGCCTAAATAATAGCGTGATTTTGGCCAAACTATTCCTTTAAAAAAAAGTAATCTGATGTTTCTGCTGATTTATTTCAATAAAACATTTTCCACTTCAAACAGTCATGTTGACCCCACATGCAGGAATCCAAACACAGCACCACCCTTCTTCATCCCTCCATCCTGTTCTCTCTCTCTCTCTCTCTCTGTAACAGATTATCGTGTGCTGTTTTCAGCTGTCCTCCGCTGACCCCCTCATTGTACCTTGTGTCGTGAGCCGGTTGTTCTGTAAGTTTAGTGTCTCCAACAGCTGAAGTCGAGACAGATGCTCCAGCGTGACCTCAGTGATTTGGTTATTCTGGGACAGAGCAGAAAAATAAATGGCATTTAACCCTATAAACACACAAAGCCTCTGAATCAAAACTTCACTTCTACATGCCTTCTATGATCTGACTGATATATATATATTTTTTTTTTACTTTTAACTAAGAAAACACCCCCCTTCAGGTCGTGACTCGTCATTTTGCTGTGATAATGTGATGCATAACTTGGACAGTCACCTCATACAACTCTAAATTGTAATGTAGAACAATATGTATTGTGAAAAGCGCTATACAAATAAATGTGGATTGAATTGATAATGATACATTTATTCAGCAAGGATGCATGACATTTATCAAAAGTTACAGTAAAGACATTTCTGTTGTTATATTATGTTACAAAAGTTAAATAAATGCTGTTCTTTTGAGCTTTCTATTCTATCAAAGAATCCCGAAAACCAAAAAATATCACCGTTTCCACACAAAAATATGAATTAGCACAACTGTTTTCAACACTGATAATATAGAAATGTTTCTTGAGCATCAAATCATCATATTAGAGTGATTTCTGAAGGATCATGTGACACTGAAGACTGGAGTAATGATGCTGAAAATTCAGCTTTGATCACAGGAATAAATTACAGTTTACAATATATTCACATAGACAACAGTTATATTGAAGTAGAATAATATTTCATAATATAACTGTTTTTATTTTGATCAAATAAATGCACCCTTGGTGAACAAAAGAGACGTCTTTAAAAAAAATCTTAATTATTTTGATTATGAATAAATGAGTCCGAGAACACTAAACCCCCCAAACTTCTATACTTAAAGGGATAGTTCACCCAAAAATGAAAATTAGCTCATGATTTTCTCACCCTCAAGTCATCCTATGCTATGTGTACGACATTCTTCTTTCAGACGAATACAATCTGAGTTATATTTAAAAATATCCTTGCTCTTCCAAGCTTGATAATGAGAGTGAATGGCTGTATGTCTTTGGAAGTCCATAAAAGTGCATCTATCCATGATAAAAGTGCATCTATTCATGATAAAAGTGCATCTATTCATGATAAAAGTGCATCTATTCATGATAAAAGTGCTTCACACGACTCTGGCCTTCTGAAGTGAAGCGATGAGTACGTACGTGCATGAAAAATATCCATATTTAATACTTTATCGACTAAAACAACTAAAAGTCTGAAAGAAGATGTCATATAGCCTACACGGATGGCTTCAGGGTGAGTTAACAGGCTAATTTTCATTTTTGGGTGAACTATCCCTTTAACATTTCAGATGCTTAAATTTGATTATTTCGGTCTGATTGTATGGGCAAACGAACAAGAAACACAATAGGCCCACTCAGGGAAAGTGTGCTGGGGAAGCGATCAGTAAACAGACCCACGCACCTGCAGCGAGAGCTGGCGTGTCTGTTCGGATAATAACTCGTGTCGTGGGAATTCATTAAGACTCGCTCCGCTACAGTCCACCGCCCCCTCCTCGGTGCAGCTGCAGTTCTCCGGACAGGACATCTTTTGCTCCACATTCTCCACTCTTCCGTGGGCGTCGTCCGGGTCTCCGTCTGGTTCCGCCTGAGCTCGAAGAAGAGTCCAGCCCAGCAGAACCAAACACAGCAGCTCCAGCAGCCCGCGCCGCTGATCCATCACTGCCGGGCCTCAGTGCGCTCGCTCCGGCCACACAACTCCTGAACCCTCGGTGAACCCGACTCCGAATGCGGTTTACCGATCCAGCCAGAACCACACCAGATCTGGACCTCGGGGCACCAAAAGAAACCTGAGATTGAAAAAGATTGATGCATTTGACTTTTACTGGAGAGATTTCCTTCCTAGTGTGTTTAGCTGGACATTGACACAAATGTCACGATTCGATTCAAATTGCATTCGATTCGATTAGGGATGCACGCACGATATATCGGCACCGGCCGATATTCATTTTTAGTGCTATCGTTATCAGCCTGATAATTAAATTTGGCCGATATATTAAAGCCGATAAATAATGGATTATTTGAGACGCTTCAGATGCGCACTGTTCAACATGATGGGTTTGAATTGCTTGAATATGATTGGAATCAATTCAAAAAAGGAAAATACTAACACAGTCTCATCCCAAGAAGTCATATAACTGACGTCTTGGGACGTCTTTTGACCATACGTCAATATCCGCCTTTTTAGGGTACCCTTAAACGTCGGTTTATGACGATCCTGGGACGTCATACAACTGACGCTTTACCTTTAACGTCAGTTAGGTGACGGGGTAGGTATAGGGGTAGGTTTAGGTCTGGGGTAGAGTTAGGATCCGATAACGTCATCTAACTGACGTTTAAGGGTACCCTAAAAAGGCGGATATTGACGTATGGTCAAAAGACGTCCCAAGACGTCAGTTATATGACGTCTTGGGATGAGACTGCGCTGAAAATACAGTAAAGTGCAACGTGCTGTCATAGGCTACGTAAAATTATAATGAGATATAATATATAATTTTGTGCTTGAGACATGGCTTTTAATGGTGAGACTTTTGTTTTGCTCTCAAAAATGTAATAATTTGGATTTAGATTTATCGGCCAATAACGTTATCGGCTTTCAAATATAAAGAATTATCGGTTATAGGTATCTGCCAAAATGTTCATATCGGTGCATCCCTAGATTCGATTAATTAGTGTATCAGTAAGTAGAGTACATGGCAAATTTTCTCAAGGAAAAAATAGGTAGGCCTACCAGCTATTTTTACTAAGTGAACGCATTATTTTCTAGTGATATATTTACACAAAGCCGCTGTTTACACCTTGTGTTTTGGTCGATCGGATCACAAGTAAACGAGGGAGACACATTCCCGTTTACACCTGGTGTTTTAATCCACTTTCAACCCCTTCTGTCCTGATTTCTTTCGAGGGAAGGGTCTATGGGCGGGTAAATGTATGTTTTTTTTCAGATCTTCCGATCTAATGGACGAAATAAGCTCACGCAATTTACACGTGAACCAGCCCGGAGACGATGGAAAAACACACGGAGAGCAACAGCTTTAGTTATTACTCTGACAACCGTAAGATCACGCCGAACACTGTGTGTGTGTGTGTGTGTTAGAAATCAGGAATGGTGAGAGAATATTGTGCTTGGTACGTTTTTCGCCTTCAAACCAAATTCCAGTTTCCAGTCAAAGTTTAAATCCCGTCTGGCTAGTGCGCTTCCCATAAGATTAGGTCAGTAGACGGAGAGTGGCTGAACACATTCGTCCACATGAGCGTCTACACTATGAAAGCAATCCGGTCGAATGCGTTTTCGACTAACTCTGGATATGGTCGAAAGTGGACAAACTCAAAACGTTTTAGACCCCGTTTACACCAAACTGTATTTAGCGTCGTCCACTTGTGATCCGATCGACCAAATCACATCTTAATACCAGGTGTATACAGGACCTAAGTGTTAAGTGCCTATTTGCAATAAGTGTAAATAGTAGATACAATTTGCATCTCAGTATTTTATTTAATAATAACATATTGAGTGTAAATGATAATATTTATTAAATAAATGCCGCCTTATTGGGACAATTAAAGCCCTAACCCTACCAGATAAACACTTTATTATTACATAACTGTAAGGCACAGGCACTTGAATTCGACTTTTCACATATTTTCTTCATATTTATTAAAATTAAATGCCTTTACAATCTGATATGCGATGGGAAAAGGGAGTTTTTCTTAACTTCAAAATAAGAATCAATTAACATTAGGAAATCAATATTTTTAACCAAACCCTAGCGTTTATATTCAAGTTCACATTGAATTTGTCACACACTTGCATTGAAATGTTTTTTTCGTCTCTCCCAATAAAAATCACAAAAGAATCACAGAAATAAAATATATAAAATAAAATAAAAAACGTTTTCTCAAAAGAGAGGAAAAATGACAAATATGATCTTTTGTCATTTCTCACAGACAGATGAATGGACTTTAGCTGAAGTCTCCTGCATCTCAGATGTTTCATGCTGAGAAAAAGCTCTTGTAGATCAATGTCTCAAACAGCACTCAGGTTTGCCAAGAAACCAAAGTCTGTGATCAAAAGTCAAACATTTCACAGCAAATTCATCCAAGACCAAATATAAATTGAATGCTAGTAGCATAAATAAGCTATTTAAACTCTTTTTGTAAGTGAAAAATAAGTAGCAAAAGTACGGAAGCGTATTGCATTCACTTGAGGAAAATAAATCTACTCTGTTTTTCTGAATTAACGAGTTAATATCTCAGAATTATGAGATACATTTTTTTCACTCTGTTTTTATGAATTAATGAGTTACTCATAATTTTGAGATAATTAAGTCATTAATTCAGAAAAACAGAGCAAAAACTTTTTCCCATGAAAAATGATCTCGTAATTCTGAGATAATTAACTCGTTAATTCAGAAAAACAGAGTAGATTTTTTTTCCTCAAGTGAATGCAATATGCTTCCGTACAAAAGAGTATAGCATGACATTTATTTGTATATACAGTTTTTAACAGTATTTAGTCATTATGTGATTTATGATTTCTATTTATTATTCAAATATTTATTCTATATTAAGTATTTTGATCTTTAGCAAACAGCCAGAGACAACAGCAATTATTGTGCCGCTTCAAATGATAATGTGGTTTATTTCGCCTCAGTAAATAAATACAGGTCTGGATTCATTGACCGTGTGAATACACCACCAGAGCCCTGATCTGAGAGCAGTTTTCTCCAACGTGTTCATACAAACCCCAACATTCCACATCTGAAGTCTCGTTTAAAGAACTGGAAGGAAAATGAACTGGGAAAGAAATTCTGGAATGAGTTCCAACAATCTCAAACAGGTGTCTAACATAAACACGGTTCACATTGCTGTGAGAGTTGGAGGAGCTGGAGGGAAGACTTTATTTTACAGTGTCCTTGTAATAACTTACCATAGTAATAACAGTAAATGATGCATAATTGCATGCAACTAACCCTCAACCAAACCCTAACCCTATAGTAAGTACATGTAGTTGCTTAATATTACTCAGTGCTTAAATATATAATTACACTGTAACAATGAAACATTAAAATAAAGTGTAACCAAGAATCTCAGTCTAATAACAGTGCACTGAGAAACAGTTAGTAATATTTCTATAGTTTTTATCACAGGGATAGTTCACAAATATTTTAATACACTTTTAACCTTAAACCAAACCCATCATGAATCTCATTTTGCTAGGTCATATTGTGTTTACAACATCCAGTCAAACAAACATAGTTGTAACCCCAACCGTAACATTAACTAAAATCAAGGGAAATGAAAACTGGTCAAGCCTTAACCATGAACTCATAATCTGACAGGAATCAGTATCAACACGGACGTTGATCCAGGAACATGTCCTACTTGGCAAAGTCTCAGCATCCCAAATATCCTTTTCACCGGCTAATTTATATACAGCGAGGTCCAAAAGTTCCAGACCACAATAATCTAAACCAAAGACTAACAAATACTTCTCATTCAACACTGCCATTGATCACATGACTTCCTTGCTTCCATTGACACTCTTTAGATCACATCAAATCGTTTAAACGGCACAGTTTCAACTAAAAACGGAAAGGTTTTTGTGCCCGTTCATTTACACGATATAAGTGTTTTTCGGGCCTGAAAACGCAAACTTTTGAAGACTGGTTTCAAAGTCCACGTTTTTGTTTCCGTGTAAACCACAAAAACGCACATTTGTGAAAACGTGACGTCATGCCCATGCGTATTACGTGTTTCTTTACAGTGTGACATCGCCACCTACTGGCCTGGCAGCAGAATACAGCGTTTTTAGTCGTTTTCGCAGATCAGTGTGAACAGGGATCGATTTGACACCGTTGTCGTCTGTACACAAAGAACTTTTCTGTTTTTAGAACATCGTTGTCAAAACAACACAACAGGTTCCCATCCATTTCATGGATTTAGTTTTCATTTGTTTTGTTTAAAATGTAATTGTACGACTTAAACAGCATTATCACAAGAACATTTTTCGAAATAACCTGTTAAACATGACAGTATTTAAGACATTTCTCCTTATATAGAACATTTATGGCATAAAGGGTTCTTTAAAATTTAATAAAAAAACGTATTTGTCTAAAAAAAAACAACGTAGTATTCTATTTAGAAACACATTGAACCTTTTTTTCCAAGAGCGTGGAGAACATGATCATCAGGTTTTCTGTCATTAAAGCCAAAGAGACACCAAATACGAAAACGTTCTCAAATTCACTCCATTATGCAGATAATTATCAAAGAAAAGCTTGTATTAAATTAAAAAAGGAAGCATTCTTCAACTTTTTAATGCTCAACTCCTTTCTCAAACAATAAAAGCCTCATATTAATGCAGAAAGAAAAACAGACATTCTTTTCACACTTTCCATAAAGTTCACTGTTACGTAACACTAACTGTAACTCACGGGTCAGATACTATAAAGCACACAGTAGTATGAAAAACACATGACACTAAGATAACACCTGTTCGACATCAAAAACAGCTGGAACCAGTTCATGCTCTGGGAAAACTCAATGGATCAGGAGGACAAACAAGCATATATGCATATTCAGAAAGTATAGATTCATACCTCAGTTCCCTGAAAGTATCCAAACAAAGTTAAAGCAAAAGTCCAGCGTGTCAAAGCTTCCTAAAACAGCCCAAACACATAAGATCAGCAGCGCTGGAGAGACGCGGTCACCCGTTGTACCTTCCAGATGTGTGAAGAGCCAGAAAGGGAGAGAACGCAGAAGAGGAAAGAGGAATAAGTGGTGTTGCCAAAAATTAACGTCTTCTGTTCCTCTTGAAAACAACTTTTCCATGATTGTAGTTGATATATGAGGCTGGCACACTTTCTTGGAAACATATTTGCGCATACAGTGAGTGAGTAGAAATGTTCTCACTTTAAAATATAAACAATATTATAAGTTTGTCATTCACATCATAAAAGTTCCCGAGCCGTGAGCAGACAAATAGGTCAGCCCAGAAGAACATGTGTGTTTTATTTGTCTCTTGGGTTTGAACTGCATCATTTATGCACATATCTCGGTAAATCCAATTGCATGTTTTAATTCCCTTCTGACTGTTAATTCACTGTAATATGTGCATTAAACAAAATTCAACTTTTGTGTCATTTCATCCATGTCTATTTGTATGTAGTCTTAAAAGTCTAAAATTGCATCTGTGAACATTCACTTTCAGCAGATGTATGCATTTTATAAAATCTATTCTGGAAAATAAGTACAAATGTATCATGTTGCACTTCGTAGATTTTTGTCCAATCAAATGCTTGTGTGAATGAGAAAGTCCCACCTCTTAAAGGGGCAGTTCACTCTAAAGTGAAAATTAAGTCATTATTTACTCACCCTGGTGTTGTTCTTATACCAAATGCCCTTCTTTCCCACAAAATGAGATTTTTTCCAAAAGGTACTTAATGGCTGCCAATTCGTAAGACTCTCTAATAGAGTGTCATGAATGTGCAGCTGTGCACAGAAGAACAGCGGCTAAGGTCAGGGTTTTCTTTTTATTGATACATAAAATTTCACCAAACCCTATCATATACTAGTGGTGTAACAGTACATGCATTTGTCCCGAACCGACAGTCAGACGATGAATACCACAGTCGATCCACACTCCAATCCAGGAGGAGAAGCATGCGGTAATGCAACACTGTTTGCTAATAAAAAAAGCAGAAGAAGAAGAGACGATCTATGCACCAACCCAAAGCAAGCGTTCAGATGGCATGCAAGAGCTTGCTAGTAGCCTATACGCTGAGTTTCAATAAATTGTGATGCGCTCCACAAACTTCCCGGAAAGGAAACTGGAACGGCAGAAAGCGGCATCCTGTCCTTTTCTTTATTTTACAAAAGCACAATCTTTTGTTTTTATTGGGAGTATACACTAATAACCCTTTACAGTTTCAAATGATGTCTTACTCTTATCTGTATGACCATTAATGATGGAGTATTTGAAGTTGTTTCCGCTGTACAGGGCTCATTTTAATTGCATGTTGACCTAAGTGTACCGTGTATACAATGTATTAATGTACAAAAGCTGCATCATATGCAGACGCAGGCATTCGAATTCTGCAAGTTTTTAACAGGAAGAAAGCACTTTTTCATCCTTGGAAAACTGCACTTGTTTCTGGACAGAAGGGGCAAAGTGAGCGGATGCAGAATTCACAATCACACAAGGACAAACACATTTCACAGTCATTAACTCAAGACTGCAGCACTTGCAGACCTTTTGAATGCACTGAAGTTTCTTAATAGCTATAAAACTATAGACAATGGGAATTAGGGTCAGTAGGGTCACTGCTTTCTTTAAGTCTAATGTTCAGATTTTTGCTGGATGAAAAGGCAAAGATATCTTCTACATGCACTTAACCACAACCTGAAAAACTAAGGCACTTACACAGTGCCTTAGTTTTCTTCTAATCTTACGTCCACATTAATCCGGATACATTTAAAAACGGCGTTTTCGTTTAAAAACGCTCTCCGTCCACACTAGCGTTTTCAGGCGTTTTCCGATGTTTCAGTGTGGATGAGAAACTTCTAAATTCACCTTACTTAGCATGCGTGAAACCTCACCGAGATGATACAGATGGAAAAATAAATAATAAAGTTATCGCGCAATTCTTCTAACAGGATCATTTTATTTAGCTAAATATCTCCAGGTCGCACTCAGTCACCATACGTTTGGTCTAAAACGCGACTGCTCTCCTGTATTGCCGCAGGACAGCAAATTTGAGTACATTTGAGTCATCTTTGCAGTACTGTGATATGAAGAGTGTGCAAAGTAACATATTTTAGCAACAGTGTAAAAGTGAATAGCACATAACATACCAGTAAACATGAATAGCTACAACATGGATCACATGACTAAACTTACGTCATCGTTTTCAAATACCTCCGGCTTCACAGTCCACACTACAACGCGAAAACGGCGGTTTCAAATTTATCCGCTTTGGACAGCGTTTTCCAAAAGCTACGTTTTCATTGACTTAAAACGCCATCTCAGTGTGGACGGAAGCCCAAACCGGAGAGAAAAATATACGTTTTCAAACGAAAATGTATTAGTGTGGACATGGGCTAAATCTGTGTTAGTGAGCACATCTCCTTTGCCGAGATAATCCATCCACCTCACAGGTGTGGCATATCAAGAAGCTGATTAGACAGCATGATTATTGCACAGGTGTGCCTTAGGCTGGCCACAATAAAAGACCACTCTAAAATGTGCAGTTTTACTGTATTGGGGGGTCTGGGGAGGGGACGTTCCTGAGAAAACTCAAGACTACAATGGCGGCGTTTCAGGGAGTTTAGAAACAGTTGATGATATACAGAATAACTCCCGCTGGAGAGACTGTGCTTCGTTACTTTGCAGACCTTTTTCATGCTCAAACAGCATCATCACACAATAAAAAAGTTTAAAATTTAGGGTTGGGGTCCCGCGGACCCCACACCTGTGAGGTGGATGGATTATCTCGGCAAAGGAGAAGTGCTCACTAACACAGATTTAGACAGATTTGTGAACAATATTTGAGAGAAATAGGCCTTTGTGTACATAGAAAAAGTCTTTGATCTTTGAGTTCAGCTCATGAAAAATGGGGGCAAAAACAGAAGTGTTGCGTTTATAATTTTGTTCAGTGTATGAATATTGAATATCTCATGTTCCTCGTTTATTTTGCATTACATTACTTCTTGGTCCAGCTTTTTGACAAATAAACTTAGGATTCTTTTCTTGTCGCTAAATATCAAATTCACAACAGACAAATTCATTAATTATCTCATTACCACTAATTCTCCAAACATGTTTTGACACAAACAAGTCAAATAATTAACATGCATTCTTTAACACAAACAACACAGCCTTCAAGGCACTTCTGAGTCAACTTGCATGATTCTGTTTAGAAATACATAACTATATTCGTTTGTTTCATTTACAGTTACATTATATCATAGTAAAAAAGAACCAATAATGAATACCTGATGCAAATACACCCTTTTTCTAACAAACACCAACAAAGAAATTGCTGAAATAATTGCATTGATGAAAACTTCGTTATGGTTTCCTGTCTCGTGAATGTCTGAGAGTCACATGAGAATAATTGGATGAAGCTTCCTCACACATTACAAATTGCAATCCAGACATCATTAATTAATTAGGCCTACATTGCATATACTTTTTTTATGCATTCATGTTAAATGAGTCAGACTCACCTTCAACACCCTGAACACATGAAATCTCTTATGAATTCAATGATGAAACCTGCAAACATACTCGCTTAACCCTCTCCATCCAGTCTAGACACTTTTGTCTTTCAGCCAAATAAACTGGAATGAACACAGTTGCATTCATCCTGCAGATCTCACTGAGACTCGCATATTAAAGATGAATTTACAATCTAAACATTTTGACTATAAACATGAAATATGACACCAGAACTCAGCCCCATTTAAACGATTTATCAGATATGACGCATAAAAAAAAACCCGAAGCCTGTTGTTTGTTAAAGTGACAGTTCACCGCAAGATATTTTCATGTCTTATTCTATGACTATTGGTGCGTTCACGTGCTATGGAAAATATGATATTTTCCACTTGTGAACTGGTATTTACCAGTGTGTTGCGTTCAAGTGCTTTTGTTGTCGTAATGTGGCAAAAAGATGGAGATCCAGACCTGTTATTTAGCTAAAACTATTTGAGATTGCTTAAGTCATCTGCTACAGCAAGAAAATGATTTATCAAAACTCAAACGTAAATAATATATGCTGTATATTTTCTAGATCATGAATAGTACATATTTTTACCATTCACAACTCTTGCGTTGCTCTCCGCCATTTTGAAAAGGTCAAAGGTAATCTCATCTCGGCAACTCGTGCATCAAAATATTCTACGAGTTGCCCAGTGGAAAATACCACATGAGGGGGTGTTCATGTGCATTTTCCATGTCGGCTTTTGGTATTTACCATAATTACCATAGCACGTGAACGCACCATATGACATAAAATACATCAGCAATACACGCTTGTGATTTCACTGGTCTTGAAAAGGCGGTTGCTAGCAAGTTTTCTAAATGGGACTAAACATCATCTAGCCTACTCATCATCTACTCATCATCTCATGTTTTAAAATAAAGACTGAAAGAGTTGTTGAAGCTTATTGGTGGTGACACTGAAGTCATGTAACTGCAGTGTAGTTCATTTACAGCCTATGTTTAGCTTTTTACTACTTGCATTTAGGCTTCAAAATTCATAAATGAAAAAATAATGCCTCAAAATTTCAGAATGACTCACTTATAGTCTCTGTATATTAAACTAAGATAGAAGACAGTATTTAAACACCGAAAGAAAGTGTTTTGTGTTGCCAAACATCTGCTCAGTTCCGTTGAATAAAACTCTCTTTTTACTCCTCTGTGTCTGGTGGCTGATCTACGGAAACAGACAATAAAACTGATGGCCTAGAAATGTATTTCCTGAAAAAACTCTTCCTGGAGAAGTCAGTCTGACCGGGAAACACTCCCGAGGTCAGACCTACAGCACACATTAATAACACACACTGAAACGCCATTTCCCTTCTTTTCTTCTCTTCTCTCCTCTGAAATTTAGAAGACGGGACACGATTTAAGCACCAGTAGATGCGTTGAGTTCATCAAATGTGCATTTGATGCTTTGAGTTCAGCTCTCGGGAGAAAAAGAGGAAACAATTAGCTATACAGTGAAGGACGCTGAGAAACGTGGGATATAAAAAACGCCTATACAGAAACGCAGGGCTCTTAACAGGCATTTCACGGCAAAAGCTCTAGGACACTTTATGAGAAGCATCAAC